TTTTAGTATATTGCAATATAACGAAATTAAGAAAAATTTTGCTCTCTTTTTAACACATTACTTGTTGAAAAGACGTTTGAATATATTCAAAACTAAGGTTATTTTAAGTAAAAATATAATTTTTAGAGACTTTTCAGGAGATTAATTTCGCTTTTGAATTTTCAGCAAGTATCCCATGTAATAAATTCATTCTTTGTCGAGAATCATATTGGAAGGAAAAGTAATATTATACCAATTCAATCTACTCGGACACAGTGATTTAACTTTGATTAATCTACTACACAAAGCAGGAACTGTTAAGTGCTAGCTGTTAAGAGGGGGTAATGTTTTCGAGGGAGAACTATTTAAGAGTTAAGTTATTCCAAATAGTGCAAGAAAATCCTTTCACCTCACTTAGGACCCCAATATTAAAAGAAATATTAATAGACTCAATAAGGAAATCAAAAATGACAAAAATTTCAAGGAAGAATTCTGGAATGAAATGATGCTTCACCTCAGCACTGTTGATGGCTCCTTATGGATTCTCATAAAAAATTTAAAATCTTCTTATTCTGTTAATCGATCTATTCACTTTTATAATATCATAGCCATATCTAATCAGGAGAAAGCTGATGTCTTTGCAACTTATCTGGAAACTCAGTTCACCCCGAATTCTTGGCCTGTTAACAGAGATTTTGAAAAGCATACACTCTTAAAAGTAAGAGATTTCTTAAACTCGCCTTCTGCTCGAAATATCTCCTGCTGAAATTAAAGATATCATTAATAAGAACTCTAGAAAGCTCCTGGTATCGACGGGATCACAAGTAAAGCTCTCAAATGTCTTCTTGACAACCTCATCTCCAACATCACTAGTGCTATTAACGCCTGCTTTCACCTTTCTTACTTTCCATAGCACTGGAAAACCGTTAAAGTTATTCTGATTCCAAGGCCTGCAAAAATTCATGCGAATGCAGACGGATACAGACCTATCAGCCTTCTTCCACTTCTTGGTAAAGTTTTTGAGCGGCTTACATTAAGAAAATTCATCCTTATTTGCATCTTCTCCTAAAGGAGCAATTTGGTTTCAGAGAGAAACTATCTACATCCAAGCAGCTGATTGCCCCTCACTGAATTCTTGGGGATGCACTTCATCATAAACAGAATGTGATTATGCTCATGTTAGGACGTGGTGAAAGCCTTCGACCGCTTCTGGCATGAGGTTCTTATTGCCAAATTAATCGATTTTAACTTTGAAAGAGAAATTATTCTGCTGATTTATTCCTATATCACCAATCGCAACTTCAAAGTGTTTGTTAAAGACTGTTACTCGTCTCCTCGGCCCATCTTAAGCAGAATTCCGCAAGGAAGTATTATTGGTTAGATCATCCATATCCTTTTTGCTTCCAATTTCCCTAAAATGCATTAACATAACTATTCTGGCAGACGACACTGCCCTGGCAGTAAAGTCTGCAAATATAAATTTCGCTATCTGGAAGCTTCAAGACTTTATTCCTAATATCGAAGACTGGTGTGGAAGATGAAAAGTGCTGATAAATGCTCAGGAATCTCAGCTCCGGGTCATTAGAAGACGGAAGAAAAATTCTACTATCAAGAATAAACTTATTCTCTTAAAATACCAGTTCCCATTGTGTCTAAAGCTAAGTACCTAGGAGTCACTATTAACAACAGGCTTACCTGGACCAACCACATCGACAACATCCGAAAAATACACTCAAAATTAAGAAATGCCTTTATCCTGTCCTAGAAAATTTCTCAAAACTCGATCTCGAGAAGAAGCGTTTAATTTACATTTCAACAGTTAGGCCTCTGATGACATATGCTTCGCCTGCCACGCCTGCGGATTTAAATAAACTACAGATAGTCCAAAATAAGTGCCTACAACTGATCATCAGCGCTTACTACTTCGTGAAAAAGTTTTTCATGAAGATTTAAAGATTCTCACAATTAAAGACTTCTTGCATAAGGCTAATGAAAAGTTTTTTCGTGATGCTAAGGAATGCGAGTTTACGCAATTATTTAACACTTTCCATCTTGAGATCTTAACAGAAGACATATCTTAGACCCTACGCTGCCTTCTCAATTTGTGGATATCAAAATTTCCCAACTTAGTGTTTTTATTATGCCATAATTCGTTTGTACTTCATTTATGGAAAAATACTTATTAAATGCTTATATTTTTTGTATTCTGTTACAAAATAAATATGTTCATACTTATCTCTGCAAACAACCAGATGCTCGGACTTGTCTCACGTGACAAGGTATACTCCCTCTCCCATGTACCACCCTACCTACGGGACCAGATCATGTACTTTCATCTCTGCATCGCTTCAAGCAACACAACTGATGATTGCCGGCAGCAATCTGCCTAGAGAGAGGGATGCCAAGGAAGAACTGGTTCGTAATTAGGTTACGTTCTTAGGGAAAGTAAAAAAAAAAAAAAAAAAAAAACTAACAGTGCAGCTATCCCACTCGCCTCGGTTCGAAACTAAGTTGGATTAACAATATTCGACCGTCTTAAACGATCAACGATTTTGCCTCTGGCGGGGCCATTTTCAAAGTGAACCCAACTTGTATTCACGTAATACACGGGGAAAACACAACCGTACGAGATCCTGCAGCTTACCGCTCTCTTCGCTGGGATTTAAGCTTGCTTCGGTGCCTTGTTTCCATTCTTCTTATCCAGTCAGCCTCTGGTGGTTTTGAAAAGCACATTTTAGACTTACTTCGTAAGTGCACAGATTTTATTATACATTTCGAGAGTACATTACTACTTTCACATACATACATATGTGAAATGTACGTATGGGACTACTTTCATATACATACATATGTAAAAGTAGTAAATGCCATTTCACCAAGCATAAGAAATCCGTGTTTAATTCGTTATTATGTTTACATATTAATATACAAAAATAGTAAAGATGTATGCGATCTATAACTTTTACTCAGTTATTTCTTAAAGGGTTCCACTAAAATAATATTTTTAAATATGAAAATAATTAAGGATGCATGAATTAAAAGTATTTTATCAATTTAACAACCTATTTAATTTTAGGATCATTAAATTTAATTAGTAATGATGTAGTATGAGATCTATAGCTTTTAGGAATATGCATAACTTAGATTTGCTAACAAAATGCTCCAAAACGGTTTTTCAAAGAACTTTTATTTTACTTTAATGATCCAAGGACTCGTTTTGAACATTATCCATTTATTTTACAATACAAATTTTAAATGAATGTGAGCTCATCTTCCTTTATACGTAGTTTGGGGTAAAAGTCATGGCAACTTTTTTTTTTTCTTGAAGATACCAGTCCGGTTGGAAAATGTGACATATACAGACGAAAGGACAAGGTCTTAACTACAATTAATAGCACTGAAATATCGTAACACACGAATTTATTTCGGTAGTATACAGGGCAATAGAGCCTTCACCGTGCAAAAGAATGATAACAGTATACACATAAAGTTGACATGACAAACCTGGGCCTAAAGACCCTCAATGTAGTCCCCTGCTACTGTCACCACACGCTGCCAACGATGTGGGAGGCGCTGAATACCATCGCCTCAGCATTTGACGCACCATGTGTGAACTAGGTCATCTGCTGGCGCACAGCAATGTCCTCTCGTGTTGCAAACCGCCTACCACGTATTGGTTCTTTAATCCTGGGAATGAGATCCTGGGAAGTCACAGGGCGAAAGATCAGGAGAGAACGGTGGATGCTCCAATTCTTCCCATCCCCAAAGTCGGAGTAGCTGCCGTACACTTCTGCTTTATGTGGTCTTGCATTAACGTGCAGAATTATTTCACTGTCCACAAGATCCGGACGTTTATCCCGAGCGCCACGTCTTACCTGTCGCACCATGAAGTCCCTGTAGTACTGTGCAGTCACTGTTCTGCCATGAGGAACAAAGTGGCAAACAATGACACCCCTGACGTCATACGCGACGATCACCATCAATTTGATTGGGGAAGGATTCTGACGCTAGCTCATTACGTAATATCCTGTGGACGGTGCGTTTCTCGATGTCCCTTGCCCTCTCTAACTCCAGTAACGTCCATCGTCGTCTGTCTTCATCCATGAAGTGCTCGATGACGGCACGTGCCAAGTCGGTCCGCACACTCACCGGTCGTCCCGAACGTTGCTCATCACTGGTTGACACGTCCTTGCTGAAACTTTCCTACCCACCGTGCCACTGTACGATATGGTAGAGCATTATTCCCAAGGGGCTTCTACTAATTCCCTGTGAGATTCCTTTGCATTTCTCCCTCGAAGAACGGCTATTTTAATGTAAGCGCGCTGCTCAACACAGGTAATCTCGCACGACATTCACCGACTGATTTCAGAGCCCTCGCTATCACAGAGCCATCTGTTGTTCTGCATACACACTATGTCTGCAGAACTTCTACACGACACATATAAGTTTTGTGATCCGTTCACTTATCTACAAGAAAACAATAGTTGCCATGACTTTTGCCCCAACCTTCGTATAATCGTACTAAGTATAGTGGTCGAATGATTATTCAAGGTAGTCTAATCAAACATTTTTGAATTTAAATCGTCAATTTATCATTTAGCAAATACTTTAGGAAAATGGCAGCAATTACAAATTTCAATCAACTATAGTACTGAAGCCAACTACCTAAAAACTGTAGATCGTATACTACATCATTACCTTTATATTCCTTCCAATGTTGCAAAACAAAAGCAGTGGCCCTTTAAAAAGTCGTTTCTATGAGTTCTTTAGCCTTGTACGTCCCGAATATCTCGCAAAATAAAAAAGTCATGAATGACTTTTATTAACGGATCATTATGTTTCTGCGAGATAGCGTGGACTATTAGTTTTATTATATTAGATGCAAGATAACGTGGAATATTAGTTTCTGCGAAATAGCGCTGAAAAGGTTTAGGAATCTAACTAAAAGCGATAAATCGCAGTACTATACCAGTAGCCAAAGAATTAATCAAGAGAAAAATGACAATACTATATCAGTATTTTTAATTTTATTAAGAATAAACTAGTTAAAATGAGCTCAAAAATACAAAATGGATAGATGAAAATTTCTTTTTTCCATTCTTTTTAATTTACAGAAGTATTAAATATCTTAGTGAACACCAGATTCCTATAGTGAATGGTGCCATTTGAACTTATATTAATGAAAATTTTATCAGTATCCTTACACATATCAATGATTAAAGCTAAAATTACAAATACACGTTTAAACACTTTTTGTAAACACGAAATTTATAAATAATACAACAAAACGTAATATATCAGCAAATAAAATCATTCTAGTGTAAAAATCAACTTAAAATTCATATCAGGTAAAACAAACAATATATTTGTACATAATCATTAAAAGTAATGAGACCGTTAATTCTGCAATTTATATTTTATTAAACGTACGCTGCTCAATTATGCAAGATCGGTACAGGAGAAACGGATAATCTTAAAATTTCTAACAATTGAATGCTTAACAAAAATAATTTTGAACAGCTTATAGGAATATTATGAGTAAAACTATTAAGATAATCCTCTAATACAGAGTCCTCAAATAAAAGTGTGTTCAGATCGAATATCAGTAAAATACTGCTTTTATTATTGTATATAGTATACGAGATATATTCATGTAACATATTACTTTGTGGTAAAAGTGATGCAGTCTCATTACAGGAGGTGCTGGATTTGGTGCCTTATAATCTGTAAGCGCATGTCATATCTTTTCAACAAATATCTCTTTTTTAAATCAAACGTCAATTTAGCTTGAGATTCATTGCGAAACAGTTTAATCGAGATATGTCTTGAATACGACTCGAGGTCAAAAACAAGTTTGCTTTAGTATTATCATTTTTAATGTCTTCTTCAATGACCTACTGCCACATGGGGTATTATTCATTAACAAGATTACTTTTAATGCTACTACCTTAGAAATAACAATTTTGTATTTATCAACACCAACTAAATAAACAAGATTTTGAATTCTTCTTGAGTTATACATTTATTTGGGCACCCTCACCTGCAAGACAATTATTCACAGAACAAAGCTTCATTTTTATTTCTTATTAAACATGAAAATAGATATGCTATACAATAGTTCCGTGGTAATAAAATGGAAATGCAAGAAAAAATTATTTCATAATAATTTAAAATAAATCATAAATTATTTCATAAATATTGATGCAAATTTCTCTCACAGTTCAGGCAGCATTGTATACGCCACTAAAAGACCGAAACTGGTCATTTCGGGAGTATCTAGTTTTGTGCTACTTCAAGAAATTTTTGTACAAACCATATATCAGAGCATCACAATTAAAATATATTGATATAACTTTACTCAAAATGCAGTTAGTGAAGGATTTGCTAATAAATTTAAGATCTATCTAAGAAATTCGAAGGTCATAAGAAAGAACTTACAGCCACTACAGCTGTATTTCATATTCTGCTTTCAGAGTTCTCTAACGGAACATGGAATATCAAGACATATTGCTAGCTCACAATCAGTAACATCACAATCAATCTTTGGTATTTATCGGTTATAACCGGTGACATATTTTGGCACCAAGAAATGAAACATCAAAAATAAATACCAAGGGTGAAAATAAACAACAAAGTAATTTAGAAAACTTGAATTTACTTCAAAGGAATTGCAAGCTGTAACTAAAAAAATATATTAAAAAAGAAAGGAACTGAAACTGTTACTTTTGCCTTAATTGAAGAAAACCAAAACACCATGTTGGATGGTGGACAATTCATTGCCCAAAAAATGCATTGTCGATGGCATTTCTTGCGGAACAAGTGTTTGTTTTAAATCGTTGAAAATAGAACTTCAAAAACTAATAGTAGTAACTACAAATAATGCGACAGACAAATCAATGATATTTAGGGACTGTTGGAAAAAATATTCGATGCAACAGTAGGTGAGGGTACAAAAATGTGACTGGATATATTTTGTTGCCAAAAATATAATCTGGCATAACCAATAAATACCTTTTCTTAAATATAAAATACTATTTTACATTACTATTTATTAGGGCCTTAGATTTCTGATGTGTATAGAGAGAACTGCATTTAGTAGGCTCTCCTGCTTTTCTGAGTAAACAGATTTCGTGCTTAACAGATTGATTTCATTTCACAACGTTAAAAAATAGATTTGTTCCAAATTAAACTAATACTGATAACATTACTGCCTATCATATAACACTACAGATTCTTTATTTTTCCTGTTCTTTATAATGAGATGCATTGAGCTACACATGACTGCAGCTACAGCACTGATGATAGCGGCTATCAAGAAAGATACCCTTCCTCCGTATTGGTCGAATGACAAACCAGCAATCCAGCTTCCCATTCCGGCTCCTAAAAGATGAAGTATGTTTATTGTTTTCCAGTTCTGAAGTGAATAAAATAATTTCAATCCAAATTTAAATACAGCGGGTTTTTTAAAATTTGTTATAAGGATAAAATTTTATTCGCTTTAGAAGGAATAAAATCTAAAAGGTAAAAAAATATGGTATTTATGCTACTAGAAATTTGAAAATTCATTAAAAATGTTTCAAAGTAAATCGCAAGACATCAAATTTTCTTGAAGTGTCAAATATGACATGCTATTTAATAAAATAAAATTTTTTCTTAACAAAAAGTGCCTAATTTTTTTTTAAATTTAAAATTTTGACTTTAAGAAATATCACAGTTGGAATAGTTAACCATTATACTCATTCGAGTATTTTGAATACAAATTAAGCATTAGTGGAATATACACCATGTTAATCCAGGTCCTTATCCCTCCTTTATTTTCGCAACCGTTAGTTGTACATTCCCGACGGAGGTCCAATGGGAGCTACTGGCTAGATTAGTATCTAGGCAGATTCGATTTCTGGGGGAAAAATTAACAATCTTCAGTGACTAGAACCATCATTTATTCAGTGATAGGTTCAGGTTCATCAGGGACCATAACGGTACTGTCTTGTCTTTCCCTTGGTTGTGGGGACGCTACAAGGTTTGATTTCAAAGGTTGTCCTCGGGGGTTTGCCTCCCCTTGGTAAACATTGGGGAACAGTCGATGTCTAATATGTGTCCTTTGTTTTTTGGGTGGATTCGTTGCAGTCCACCAGTGTCTTAGCGTTACAAATCTCAGACTTTGTGAAGCTGAGATTGCTTCCCTGGGTTGACTGGGGGAGGCGTTATGCCTTCTTAGATCACCTCTAGGAGTTGGAGCGTTTAACTGTTTGGCTTCTCTTATAAGCTGAGTCTGGGTGCCCCTTCCTCCTAGTGTTCTGTTCTGTTGGCTGTAGATATTCAATGGCATTGAATGTGTGTATGTTTATGGGCAATAATTGCAAAAATAAAGGCTGGTTAAGGACTTTTGTGAGTATGTCGGTACTGCAGAGATTGTGTACTTGTCTATACTGATGATCGTATCCTGATGTATACTGTCGCTCTTGCAGAGATCAAGATTAATTAATATATACAGAGTTTCAGAGTTGTCGCCTACTTTTTAATAGTAATATACATTATACTATATTGCGTATGTTAATCTTAATTTGCATATATATATCACGATTAAAATGTGTACATGTACATTTACGCAGTAGACTACAGGATTTTAGATTTAAATTTTTAGCAACCTCACATTTGAAGAAAATTTTATCACTATATAAATTTTTTCAGCAATGCATTCTTTTTAATGTTATACGTGCTGCAATGCATAAATAGAATTTCTAGATATCTTCACAGATGTCAGTTGATGGAACACTATTTTTCCCTGGACAGACCACCTGAATTTCTGAAATGATCTCTAAAGAAGTCCTTTATTTTAAGTTAACGCTCCAGAGGACGGAAAGCAACTTGAAAATGTCCAAGTAGCGAGTAAGGGGAGGATTAAGAAAAAAAAATTCAGTAAACTGTTAGACATTATACCGTAAGAGAAGAAATTTGCTTTTCAGTCTTTGAATACATTATGGTGCATTTTGCAAGGAAAATAAATGTTCTGATGCGGGTAAATACTACCTCAAATTAACCTAAGTTAACATTTTTTACAACTTCATTGAAATTAGTAGAAGAAAATTCAGTCCAAAATATTGCAGACTTATTGTGTATGTGTTGCTTTAGATTGTGTAATAATTGCATGAAAAAGTGTACTGTTAACAAATCTCATGTGACTTGTATTAAACAGCTATCATTCTTAATATAGGTATTGATTGCTTAGCCTAGTTTTCAGTTTCAAGCCTTTGTCTTAATAAATTACTTTTTAGATTTTAGAAACTTTGCGAGAAACGGTAGTTCTAAAAATCACATTAAAAATTCACTAAAACTAATAAAGTGCTAGATTTAGGGTAATAACACGCCGAATAAATATTAATTTAGCAGTCAAACAACAAAAATCAGTGTTATATTTGCAAGTTTTCATAGTTTTTAAGTACGGGATGTGCGCTATGGCTCAAAAATTTCGAAAGCAATATCAATCTTTTCTGAAGGTTTGGTTAGATTTAATTAACTCGAGAGCAATCTACCTAATGGAAGTGGTGCATGGAGGACTTTCTATGAGAAAGTTACACTACCCAAATTTCCGTATACACGTTACACACGAGGAAAACCCCAAAAACGCTTATGCAGCCCACCCGTAACCGCGAACTAAACTAGCAGTGTTAAGCGATTTTGCCGCTCGGACCCTGGTGGACGAAGGTTTCTGAAGAAATTTACGGAAGAGAATTTATGTAAAAAGAAAAACTGGAAAATTTCATTATTCCTCCTTTGGAGGGGGATGATCTTGCAGAGACCTTTTACGCATTTGTCTATCTAGTGAAAAGGCAAAACTGTTTAAGAATGTGCTATATTTTGCGCATTTACAAAGCGCATCAGCTGATGAACAAAACGGCAGATTCCTTTAAAAAATTTTAATTCGATCCGTATTCAAATCTCAGCGGAGGAGGTTGCTGCACAAGTCTTTTCAGTGCTTTCCCCAAATGAACTTGAATTCATTTTCCTTAGAACATTTCTTACAAAGGCATACCCATTTAAATTTAGAAAGAATTAGGGCTTTGTTGTATTTCACTGAATAAATTTGTCTTTTGCCATTTGAGGGCAAATTAAAGTTTTTAAGAAAATACAGAATATGTTGCTGGTATCTTGTGTAAGGAAGCAGAATAAGTAGAATTATATTTTCAGTGTCTTCTCATGTTACCACGTATTCGCATCAGTTCATTATTAAATGAATGTGTAAGCTAAAATGTATGCAGACAACTTTGAACCAAGAAAGTAGCAGATGGAATTGTAAATTTAAATTTGAAGAAAATTACAATAATTCTAAATACCATTCGGTTCTTTGAAATATCTGAACTTTCTAGAAAAGAATGTCAGGACTTGATCTCTTTCTGCATGCTTTTATATACAGAACACTTGAAACATATGAACATGTTAACTCAAAACAAAAGAAAATATAAGACGTAAAACTGCATCAAGGGAAAAAAACTTCTTACTTACCTAAGCCCAAAAAGGTTCCACCGAAGATACCTTGGACAGTAGCTTCAGTCCCTTGGGGAGAAATTATTTCTGCATAAGAAGTAATAGTAGCGTAAAATAATCCATATGTTATTCCTTCCAGTAATTCAACAGGCAAAATTACCCAGACATTAGTTAGTGAATAATACGCAAGAAAACGTACAAAAAATGCAAGAAAGCTGATTGTTAAAATGTTCCAATGACCAAGAATAAAAATAATTTCTCCCGAGTAGAAGATGAAAGGAGCTTCTCCAAGGACACCTTGCACACCCAAAGCTAAGCCCATTAATAATTTGCTACTACCCAAACTTTCAAGATACCACAGTACATAGTTAGCCGTGTAACCTGTTAAAAAACCGGTAAAAAATACGCAGACTTCCATAAATACGAACTCCAAGGACAAGAAGGGACCTTCAGCTTGACACAAAGGAGATCTATTAGTTGGTAGTTGTATATCTGTATTAAGAACATTCAGAAGTAAAAATGCAGAGAGAAACGCCATCATGTAAAATCCAGGCGCATAACTGCGATCCGGAACATCCGAAGCCAGATCATTCAAAAAGCCTGTTAAAGGAGCCATTGCGCCCCAGCCAAGAGCTCCGAAATACCGTTGACGACCGTAACTAGTTGCTGAACATTTTAATTTCTCGTAGCAAGCTGTGTCTGACAGCGTAAAAATAGCACCTTGGAACATTATGCTTAGAATGGCAAGCACGCTAAATGTCCAAAAGTAAGGAGACTCGTAAATAGGCGCAATTGATGTTTGCTGGCAGAGATTTTCTGGGCGCTCGCATTTTAAATTGCACTGAAATACAGAACTATTGCAGGAGTTCAAATTATGTTTTTCCATATGCTGTTCCTTTAAGGAATGAACAGACACTGTTATATTCGTTGAAAAATTTTTGCATGCACCGGCTTCAAATGTAAAAGTAATGTAGTTATTTTCGTGACCATTAAAATCAGCACACGGTTTAAAATATTTCTTAAACTGTAAATCACAAGACATGGGAAAATTTTGAGAAATGTTTCGCTCATATAATAAACATGTAGCATTTAGTATCGAAGCACAATGGAAGAAGCAAGTTGATGTGTTATTGTTTGTAGCTTGTCTATTTAGCCGTTGTATGCTGCGAGATTTTCTTGTAGCAACTGGTAAGTTGGTTCTAAAGCTGTCCAGCCTTATGTTAACATGTGTGAAACCAAAATTAAAGTCGCTTCTAGGTTCAGAATTTCCGAAAAATCGACTGTTCTTTATGTACCCCTGGAAAATAAAGTTATACATATATTATTAATTTTTTGAAGTGCTCAAAGAAAATTTTAAGTAATTATTCAACAAAACAACGCAAGTATATACTTTATACAAAATACAAATTGTGTATTTTGAAAAAGATTTGTAAAATCATCATAGCATATATTCAACAGAAATCTGCATAAAAGAATATGCATACCTGCTTATTTTACTCAAATACGATAATTTTAGGATTAGAGTACCGAAGAAATGCAGAATAAATTATGACCTTCATATAAAATATACGAATATATACGAATTGAGTACAATAGAGATATTGTAGACACGGTAAACATTAATGGAATTTCATTATTCCAAAAGTTAAATTGGCTATAATGAGGCATGATGAAAATTTCAAAATGCATGCAATAGAAATAGAGAATTCAAGATTATATACCATATAAAGCTTAGAATATATACAATGAAACCTAAGACTAGTTCTAGTTTCAGGTCTAGAGACATTTTTTTCATGGGGGATGTTTCAAACAGTGTAATGTTTAATACTAATAATTATAATATTAACAACAGTATTTATTGATTAGAAATACTGGTTACTTTCAGAAGGGTCGCCTATGGAAGGTAATTAACCCGAAAGGGTTCACTGCATTTTTTTCCCCAACTCGACTGCGTAAGGGGTAATATTTTTAAATTGTTTACTTTTAATAAAACTAATTTTCTTTTGAAACTTTAGTTACAAGAAATATATTCAGATATTTCTTTTCTTTCTGAATGTTATTTTGAGTCATATGCACAGTCACTTATTAGCTGATAAGAGCACTGAGGTATATTAATATTTCAGCAGTTTTTAAGGTGACACGATAAGCATTAACTGCATAAAAACCGTAAATTTATTTGTTGATAAACCTGAGTTCTGAATTAAAATGTCTCTAGGTTGTTAGATCCTGCATTTTTTTAGATCTTAGGTTAATACAAGCTACTCCCGGGCGCTGAAAACCCTAGCTAAGGCTCTGGTCAGACGGTTTTGTTAAATGATTTAAAATTATTTTCCCTTGATCGAAGATCTAATCAGTCCAAGACTAAACTAAGATCTAGTATTTTACTGCGATATGTGTGGGATGTATCGATAGCATTTCAAATATTGGGTATATTGTAATTTTAATGGTTTTACACTTATCTTTTTACAGTTTCAGTTATTTCATCTATAAATTAAAATCATAATATAAATGGTCAGACATAATTACAAAAGCTTTTTCCTTTAAGTCATCCGAGAAGCATCACCGATAAAAGATATTTAAATAGTTTAATTTAAATATATGATGAAAGGTGCATTTTGAAATACAGAATTGCTTTTTTGGTACTCAAACTCAAATATAATGGTGGTTCGCAAACGTTTTAGACGATTTTAATTGTAATTACAGAAGTATTTTACCCAAAATGTTTAGCTTTCAAATGTCCTATTTAATAACCCTTATCTTTCACTATCTTTATACACTATATTTTGCAAGACAAAATCTTTTGTAGTATCGAAAGAGGTATTTTATTCCCATTGCTCTCGAACAGCTTTCCAAAGTCTACATTGTAGGTCGACGTCTGGACAATCTGTATTTTAAAAGTTCAAAAGCGCAAAAATACATTGGTGATAGATCAGGAAATTTAGTAGGGATATGAGTGAAGGGTAAGGCCTTGATATTTGTTTCTTGTTCCATTTTATCCAGGAACTTAACAGTGGATTTTGACCTGCCGCTGCTTGATTTGTCTTAATGCAGTTTTACTGTTTGATCACACTGTGTGCAAAGAGAAGGTATTTCATATTTGAAAATTAGGTATAAAATGGTTTTGATAATATGTGGAGTTGATCTTAACATTTTCAATTTGCCGTTATTTGAAAAATCAGCAACAATCATAAATCTCTTAAACTTTCTTTAGCTTCCTTAAACGATGTTTTAAGATTTTTTCCTCGTCTTTGATGATAATAAATGGTTTCATTTCGTTTATGTGATTATGACAAAGCCTTGAGGCCTTTATGCCTAAGGGAAGGGATGGCTTCGTGGAGGATGTTCTAAGGAAAACTGGAACGCATACACGTTATACATGGAGAAAACCACAAAAATGCCAATGCAGCGAGTCCATTCGCGGGATTCGAATCTCTGATCGAACTACCAGTGTTCAGCCACTTTACCGCTAGGCCGTTGGAGGGCTGATGACAAATGGATCTCTTTTTTATAGCAGTAATTTAAGTATACCTAAGATTAGTCTACTGTGACAACATTCTTCCATTTTATTCAGGTTAAATGTTTCTCATAAAGAATTCTGCAGCGCGTTCTGCGTTCGGCTATGTGACATGGGGAAAGACAAAGCACGTTATATTTTTTCGCATTTTTAAGATTTAAATCGGCGTTATTTACTTTGTTTAAAACTGACACCGAGTATTTTAATGACTTTGCAATTGTCGTTGGTGGATTTTCTTTCAGCATTAAAGATCTCACTTTTGCAACATTCGAAACATTCCGTTTTTCCTTGGTTTTTGTATTCGGAACAATTTTTCCACTTTGGAAATAAATTTTATCTTTTTCTTTTGTTGTTAACAGCATTACCTATCGTAGCTTTAGATATCGAAAAACCATGGCTTTCACAACGTTTTCTAATAACTAGATACCAACAATTTTCGGAAAGAACACAAATATAGCCTTCCATCTGCTGCTTTTTTGAAAGCGACATTTTGCGTAAAAACAAAACTGTCAAGTAGCAGATAAGTTATACTTTTAAAAATAAAATTTTAAGTTTTTTTTTGTAGCAAAGTCAAATCATCTAAAATATGTGCGAACAGCCTCTGTGTACATTATTTTGTTTGAATGTAAAAAAACAACTTTCCTATATAAACCTTTTTTGGTTTATAAATTTAAGATAACTTGCAATCGAAAAAAATGTGTACTGCTATACGAAAGTTGAATTATTTTTTAAAATTTCAATGAAAATTTTTTTTAAAGATACAATGCTATCTTACAGCATGGTCAAGTGAAAAAAACATTTATTGTTATTGTCATTAATTCAAATTTTACTTTCTTGTTGACTTATTCCAACCAATAAAACAGTCTACAAACAGTGTGATTTTTCACCCCTGACAAGCACAACGTCGCAAAACATACCTAGCGTATCTCTGCTTTGATTTTATGCAACTCGTAATACTAGTTTAATTTTTGGGAGGGAAGTTAATTTGCTTTTTGCCTTCCTGCCGCAATTTTGAAGAAAAAAAAAAAAAAATTAAATTTTAGCCCTGCCGAACAATATGTAGTGCAATATAATAGGCAACGCTTAACGTGATTACCACGAATATTTGGATAACATTAACCGAATTATTATATTAAACAATGCCAAAAAGGTAACCTTCAAAATAATAATGGAATTTAGTTAAAATATAACTGGAAACATATATATATATATATAATAAAATTCCATAGTCAAAAATACACTTAAAATTCTAACTATGTTCTTTTCATTTTTTAATAGCGACGGTCTCTTATTTGAAAGTACGTGGAATTAAATCCACCTCCCCGTAGTCAAGTTGTTTTTCCCTCCTTTTCTACACGTACAGTTATAGAATGTTCTAGAGATATTTAAAGCGAAGTGGAATGGCTGACGAGGCTGACGTCATTTCTTGGAAGCTCCGCCTTTCCAGAGGCTATAAAAAGACTCGAAAAGGAATATCGGGGTCTTTTCTTTAATGTAACGATGCAGTAAACTTCATACAAAAAGTTATTAGTAATTCTTTTTTATTTACTCCGGAAATATGATTTTTGCAACTGCTATTTCTCCTGACCAATAATAAATGGATCCTTGTTTTTTAAACTTATCGTCTGATAATTTAAGCTACGACTACATCTATGATTCTTCACCAATCTATTTATTCCGGACAAAAGCTGGTACATCACATATATTATATATTATATATATGTACATTTACAGCATTTTAATTAGGAAAATGAAAGCCTGTTTCAGAACTAATGTCTTTAATGTAAAAGTTCATGTACGAATTGTTCATAATGTTTTTGGAAAATATTTGGTCGATGCTGTACCTTAATCTTAATATGCGGAGGTCTTTATTGGAAGAGAGCATGCCAATGTAAAATTTGAAAGATTAAGCAAAAAAAAACAAACCTTAATTTGTCTTACATGTTTTCAAGAGTGGAAAAAATCCTGCAAAATTTTTTGTTTTGCTCCTGAAGAAGACAGACCTGTGTTTAAATCGCCGTAAATATCGATAGAGTTGTTCACAATCTGCGTCCAAGTAAAAGGTGTAATTTTGCCTAAATAATGGTTGACTGAAATCGAAACCTAGCTGTTTGGCGACTTAATATCTTAATTTCATTCCTCTGTCACTTGGCAATTTTTATACTCGATTTTGATTTTATCTGGCGGTTTTACTTCACTTTAAGCATATTCCAAAAAATGTTGATTATATTAACCGAATTTTTTATCACAATAAGCGATGTATTTTCCATGTTTTCGTATGCAAGTGGGCGGGACTTAATTCGATAAAAATATCTGAATGATAACACTAAGCGCCATCTATATTATTTTTCAAATTAGATGCTGACAAAAAAGTGTGTGTTAATGAACACGTCATGCGATTTTATATGAAAGCGGATAAACAACAACACAATGCGTTAATTGACAAACGAATGAACATTCATTTTGAAAAAGGTTTTTGAACAGAGTGATTGGCGAAAATTTGAGTTAATATTTATTTAAAAGTTTCTATATGCTTCAACCGTAACTTGCATCTTTCGATTACGTAACTGAATAAAAAGTTATCTTTTCCTTCAAACTTCTTCCAGAATTATCAACCCAAGTCTAGCAGAACACATGAGAGCTATCCTTCCTTAGGGGAGTAATAGCTTCAAGGAGGACTTTCTAAGAAAAAAACTAGCTTTTCCCGTTACACGCGGAAGAGAGATAAGTCGAAAAGCACCCATACAACCATTCCGTTCCTATAGTCTCGAACCCGGGTCGAACTGTTCGTATTCAACGGTCTTGACCACTCGGCTACTAATAGAGCTTCTATAATCATAGGAAAGCACATTAAGTACTCTAAAAAATCGAAATCTCATTTTAAAAATTTCATAACTAAAAATAAAAACAAATAGAAATTTATAAAAGTAGGTTAGAAAAAAGTTTTTCTTTACAGACAGACTATTCATTTTCCTAACCTTTCCGAAAGAGAAGGTATACACATTTTTACTTCCATGTACGAAGGAAAGGAAATATTACAATCGGGAAAAATTTCGGTTATCAGATTTCAACAGAAATACCCACTTCTAAGTTGCCGACAGGTTGTTTGACTTCTAAATTAATATTAAGAAATAACCATTTTGATTTTTTTTTCGTCACATCTCTGCGTGCTGGCAGAGCAAAGGGCTGTACTCCCAAACAGATTGTAATATGGATTCAAAATGGATTTTTTCGTAACGTCTGTATTCACGTATCAAACACTACTACTCATAGAACGTTGAAACTTTGTATATGGGAGTGCTATAACATCTAGTTGCGCTCCCATTTTATTGCAATTAGAAATATATATACATATGGCCCCTTACCCAGCTTAGAAACCCTTGCCCGACCTTTATTTTCGCAATCGTTGGTCTTAGTCATATCTACTTCCAATTACAGAAGTGTTTTAAATGACGAAAATATTTATGTTTTGGCAATGTCAAATTAAAAAATAACAATTTTGCACAAATCTTAACTTCTAACGCGGGCTTCCTGCTCTTTTATACTTGTACTTGCGAAAATTTTAAACTCGTTATGAAAAAAAATTACAAGAAGTTTGACTCCCGTACGAAAGTGGAATGGGATATTTGATTTCAAAATTTGCGATTTTTGATGTAATTTTCAACTTGCTTTGAGAGATCGGTTAATTTAGAATTATTCGAAGAAACAAGTTTAAATCAAGTGCAATAAAAATTGTGTATTAATTTAACAGGTCGTACAAGGAAGTCAAGTGGTGTCCAGATCAGATTTTTTTTAATTCAGTGAATTTTTAGCAAATTATGAAAATTAGCATCAATCAAATTTACCTTTAGTTTTACTCCAGCTTTTGTTTTCTGTTGAAGGTATTGTTCTTTACTAGAATTTAAAAAAATCTTGATTTCTTGATTGCTGCTCGTTTGACCTACTGTTGGTATACCAAGTATCAGCAGGTTAATAATCACCTCTATGCAGATGAGGAATACAAGAACAGCTTTCATTCTTTTTGTGCAGTCAACAATGAGACCAAATATTGGTTTCGATAAAGTGTTGGAAAATTGCATACACGTCGACAAGATGCCCACTGTTGTGGCATTGAGACCAAGACGAGATTTGGCGAAGACGGGAAGATACGGGGTCACTCCTGCATGGGCTGGAGGGAAGGAAAGAAATTATATAGGTTTCATAATACCGTCAAAGCTAAATGAGTTTTCATGCCATATTTAGGTAACAGAAATGAAACATATTCTATGTTTAATGTGTATATAATATTTATATATACCAGCGGCCGAGAGGTAAAGTCGCTGACCCGGCTTCAACTCCAGGCGGAACGGACTGGCTGCATGGGCGTTTCCGTGATTTTCCCTATGTGTAACATCTATACGAGCCAGTTCCCTTAGAAAGACCTCCACGAAGGCATCCCTACCCTCAGGCAAATAGCCTTTTCGTGCGCAAATTCAGAAGCTGATAACTAAGAAATGTATATATTAGGCGATTCCAAAAACGTTCACAGCATTCAATTCGTTTATATAAAATAATGAAATGAACTAAATTAACTCTCTGGTATGTGCATAGATATCTGAGACGTTTATTGGTTACCATGTAATTTCAGGGATATAATTTATAATCACATTAAATAGTTAGAATGTACTTTTACTAATAGCGCGAGTCAATTCACATTCCATAAGTTTATTCATTAGCAAACGAAATTTGTGTTATCCTATATGAAAAGTACATGTTCAAGATCGTATTTGTGAGAAACACCCTAGGAAGGGTATTAAAGAGTTAAAAAGAAAAAAAATATTGTCTGTCTGTGTTTGCACATCAAAGAGAAGTACAAGGTAACTTTGTATAAAATCTTCCTAGAAATGTATTCATTCTCGTATGCTTTGTCTTCATTTCAAAGAAATCTTAGAAATTCTTTTATCGTTTACATGATTCTCTCCTTAATATCATATCACATAATGTCTTAAATGATTTTCATATTTTTTATGTGTTTCCTTACCAGTCTTCATTCAATCACAAAATTTCAGGAAATTATTGAAGCCGAATAAGGTAACCAGCGCAAACGTCTCTGTTTAGTTGAATCTCATCATTTGCAGCGTAATGGGATTTTAATATTTAGCAACAAAAACATAAAAAACATCAAATAAATGATACTGAAAATTGTAAATGTAATTTGAATTCCTTACTGAAATTATAGCGCAGAAATTTAAAACAGTGCAAATTTAAAAGCCTACAGCAGTGGCTTTTGTTCGTTTATGATAAAAGTGTAAATGCTTCTTAAATTCGGAAGTTTTTATTGCTCCCTTGAAGGTAAGAATATTTAATTTAGTTTGGATTAGTTCAATTAATAGCTAGTAATAACTAATAAATGAATTGTTTCTTTAAACACCAGCGAGAAAATATACTTCTTTCATCAGCTCATTTCAACTGCAGAAACATTTTCCTGAACATAATGAACAAAAAAATAAAAAAAGGACATTTTAAAATTTATGTTATAGATAATACTTTGAAAAGAAGTTCAGAGTTATAAGAGATAAGAGCAATATTTTTAACATTAGTCAGCAGGTAAAGCTGATGCATGTCTTTCTATAGAAAATTGTTTGGTGTTACTTTCTTATAACGGAAGAGATTCGCCAACTGGTTTCCTTTACCACTGGTTGCAATATGAAAGCATTAAAAAACGTTTTCCAATAGGAAGTATCAAATAAGAAATGCAATTTTTCATATATCATTAGAAAGTAACAATTCATTTAATGAGTAGGCATCCGTATGATAGATCTGTTCATGGATCAAAGTGTGGTAGGTTAGTTTTAATGAAAATTCATGATGGCTGTCTGCCAAGGAGGATTAAACTTGAACTTTATTTTAAATCAACTTACTGTAATTAGTTAATTTAAAATAAAGTGCACACTTTAAAATTAATTTAATTTTAAGTTATTTAAAGTTAAATTGCCTTAATTCTAAACTGGTATAGTGTGTATGGATCTCCCGATTTCACATTTTGCCTTGACTAATAAGCTTTTATAATATATTTCATAAAACTCTGTACTTCCTTTAATTTTCAAAGAAAATTCAAACTCACGTAATTTCAGAGTGCATTTTATCTCAACATATTACTAATCAGTTCTATTAATAAATTAATTATAGATTTGAAAAGCATTAGCATAAGTTGTGATTTTATTTATGAAGCCATAGTAATCAACCTCTATCAATTAAGGACAATTATTTCCCCATATCAATAATATGAATACTTATTGAACCCTATACTCTTTTAGGTGTATATATACTTTTAAGTGCCTATGTATCTTTAGAACCTATATACACTTAAAGGTATATAGTAGATCGGTAATAATTTAGTATTGAATGAAATTAAAACCGTGTTTTTCGGTTTACTATTTCTTGTCATTCGAATATTTTAAACATTTTAGACTATGCTAGGAGAGGTTAGGATATATCATTGAAGCGAAAGAAAGCAGCTGGGAGGGGGAACTGTGTGCCTATAGGAATGAAGTCTTCGTGAAGGACTTTTCAAGAGAAACTGGTTTGCATCCACGCTACACATGGGGAAACCGCGAAAAGTTTCTTGAAGGCAGCCTGTCTGTCCGCCAGGATTCGAGCCAGGTCGAATTACCAGTGCTCAGCGCTCGTTCGCTGGTAGGAACATTTCCTTAAGTCAATATTTTTCTTCTTTCACTCATTTTTGCTACAATTCGGGTGACCCTTTTACACCATTCAAAGAAATAAGAAATAAATTGAAATATTTATTTACAGCAGCTATTTTTGCTACGATGAGCCATTTCACTTAAAAGTTATTTAGATATTGCAATCTAGTAATAATTTCGTTTAAAAATTGAAACTATTTTAATTCAAAATATGGCCTTTCACATTCTAGTTTCCTCTGCTAATTAAACGCACTTAAAAAACGTTGGAGTAGTAGACGGTCTTCAAAGTAATATTAGTAGTTTAGAGGCATCCTATAAGAAACACAACATATTAAAAAATATTAACCACTGTCCAATTTCAAGATCATATTTAAATTTCGATGGCAAATCTATCAATAAATTTATTTTCAGTTTGGTGCAAAAAAAGTCTCCTTTTCCAGCTTATTTTGGCGAGTTTGTTTTACTAAAATTTTATGCCATGGAGTGAAATTTAATGAAGGAAAATTTTCTTCATTACTTCTCTAGGTACTTACGTATTATCCTGTCGATCTTGAAATTGTTGCCAGTAGCGCGATTTAGTTCCAGCTATGGATAAACATGATGTCACAATACCTTCATAACATCTGCACTTTCGTATGATGTAACCCCAATTGATTCTCAATAAGCCACATTTTGCTTTTATAAACAAAGGTATAAATTAACTATTATTGTTGTACTTGAACCTTGCATTTAGAAGAAAAAAATACATTCGAGGACTGAATAATCACATTTATGAGTGAACTTCGGTTCATTTGCAGATGATTGAAAGAATTCATATGTATTATAAGGGGGGGATAAAAACAGCTAAATGTTGCAAACAAAACAGTAATAGATTGGAACAACCAACTGCGGGAAGTTTTTGTTAATAGCTTTCCAAACACAGCTTTCGATAAAAGCAGATGTCTAACAGTATTAATAGAAATCGATGCAAGCCTCTTTATAAAGCGGGTCGAGTACTAGCACTGGCTATTTGGTGGATTGGGCAGACAGACTGACAATGTGTTATTGCTAAGAATTGCCTATAAAAGTGCGGGTAAGCGGGGGGATCTCAACCAACTTTCATATTTCGATTGTAGCCAGTTTTCACGATCGACGGAAATTCAGTTGCAGCTGCTTTTAATGAATTTAGGGAATATTTTGAGGCATCAGATATTCTTTTCAATTCTACGTTTTGAAGTAAAATTAAGATTATATGAGTATATATATGCCTCTTAATACATTCGCGACCGCTGACGTGAATTCACGTCATTTCAAATTCTATTCCTGGTTGTCGTGACGTAAATCCACGTCCTGCTATTTATAACCGAATGCTAAATTTCTTTAGATGAAGTCATTAAATCATATCGTAGAAGACTCTTTTAGAGCTTATAATCCGAGTAAAATAAAGTGCGGAATATTAGTCAAGAGTCTTGACTGAGCAATGTCCGAAACTTTCAGCTGTATTGTAGAAAAGGGGACAATTTAAAAATAAAATTTCACTTCTTTTAAATAAAAAGGAAAACTTTCGGCACCATTTATATATGGACAATTACTGTAACAGACTATGCTAGGAGAACACTAATTGAAAAAGCTGAACACTTATTAGCTGAACACTTATTGAAGAAGCAAATTCGTATTTGTAGTACTTATACGTAGGAAAGGGATTTTCTAAAGGAACTAAATGCTCTCGCGTTGTAAACGGGTGGATCTGATTCTGGGCACAAAAGCGAGGTACTAGTTCTCAAATGGTAAGATAGACGAGATGTTAAAATGATATCCACTGTATACAATCGTCCATACTGGAAAAATGAATTAAAAAACTTGACAGCAAGTTCGTCAGCCTGAGCGCCTAATGAACATATGAAAGGGGTCGATCGAATCTATCAAATAGATCGAGTTTTTATGTTTCTTTTCCATTGCAACTCTTTCATTACATTTTGTATCGTAAGCGCGGTCTAAATATCAAAATAACTTTTACGAAATTCTTACAAACTTCTGGCGGAAGACAGTATTGCTTTTACTATTGAATATTATGATCTCGAAAATTTACCAAGTAGTAGCTCAACAGCAGTGGGCCGAGTATCTCCGCATGATCCTCCTTACAGATTTTCAGATGGCATAGTAACACAGTTGGAAAGAATTGCAAAGTGGGGAAAATCAAAGTGCCCATAAAAACGCTACAGAGTCTACAAAAGTCGTGAAAAACGTGATACTTCATACATATGCAAATTATGCACAGTTTCTTTATTCAAAATGTATTGTTTCCCTATTTATCACACTAAAAAGAAATATTAAATTTTATTTTTCATCTTTTCAACCTCCAAATACACGTAATATAATGCTAAACAAACTAAGCAAAATAATGTCAAGTGGTCTATTTACATTAAAAAGTAAGTATACAAATTATGAAAATCTGTTTATTTTAAACAACACTCATTTACAACATTAAATATTTCAAAACATACTTTATAATTTTTAACCTTCGCTCTAAAGATACAATGTTTGGGGCAACCAGCTTCAGAATTTCATTATTTTCGCCGGTACTCAGTATTATAAATGTAAAACTTCTACCGGTCTCTAACATGCTAAAAGACATCAAAGAATGCAGATATCGCATAAAAGAATAATTTTTAACTAATTTTCTTACCACTGCACAACAGAAAGTAGTGAATTTTGTATGGCAAGAATTCCCAATCAATTTTGCTGAGATTGTCTTTCACTGGTGGATATTCTGTATTGGAATTCATGACCCTAATCAATAGAAAGCAGCAAGAAGTAAGAAACATTTACAAACGGCAGACGAAATTCAATGCATTAAGTTTTATTTAAAAGAAATATATTCATGGTTTGATATTTGTCTTTATTAGCAGTTTTTCATTTTATTTTTCTAATTATTTTTGTGATAGCATTTATCTTTAGTAGTACAATCATATTAAAATGCTTTCCGTGGAGATATATGCAATCACACTTAATCATCGATATATTAGGTTTCGAAGTAGCACATTGTGCCAGAAATCTGAGTTTGACTGTTCTTCTTTGACCTCGAAATATAAAATTTACCTCAAAATAACTATAGGAAAATAAATGGATTCTTAATCGAGGAAAAGCAGGTGAGAGCCATTTGTCTCAGTCACCATTTTGTGAAGAGAAATTTGCTAATACTTAAACCATGAAAACACGCGGCAAACTATAAAAACAGCCAGTCCTTTCGCCAGGATTTGAACATCTGATAATACAAGCAACATACACAACTACTCTGTCACAAGTAGGTGTGGAATGATAAATGACTGGAAAAGGTTGAAGTTTCGAAGTTGACAGAAATTCTTTGCTGTGTGGGGAGAGAAGGTACTCAGAACCTAACCGACATAAATCGGTTTTATGACTTATAATGGGCCATGCCCAAGTGGAAGAGAAAGTATGCAGGGTTGTTTTAAAGATGAAAAAAAAATGAAAGAGGTTAGGAGTTATTTGAATCTGCAAATCACACGATGGCTGTTTGAGTAAGGGAAGGGATGCTTTCGGGAAGGGCATTTTAAGGAAAACTGGTTCGTATTCATATTACACATGGGGAAAACCACGAAAAGCAACTATACCGCTAGACATTCGTCTATGAGCGAACCCGGGTCGAGCTCCCAGTATTCAGCAGTTTTAACCACTTGCACACTGGTGGAGCGATGAGGAATTGATGAAAGGCCACTGAAGAACGACTTTTCGTACAAACACATAGCTTTGACATAGTGATTTTAGGGCAAAATCACAATACTGGAAGTCTTGAACTGAGCAAATTAAGTAGGTTTTGATTTGTGAATTTCTTGGCGAATAACGTGAAAAGTTACTATGCGCAAAATATATGGTTAAATTATATCACCGTATTCAAAACTGAATAAATTCTAAGACAATGAAGACAATTCTATTATGATTATAGACATGTGAACATTTTCTGGTTCCGAATCGCTGAATATTTTGGCCCCAGATGGTGCTTTACTTGTCAGGACTTTAACCGTTCTGTAAGGAATTGTCTGTACAGACTGCATTACGACTTCCATGGGGATAACATAATATTAGGAATTGCAGAATAGAGATCTCAACGTGTATCTTCAGATTTTTCAATAATGTAAACAATTGAATTGCGATTTCAGTACAATCATGCAGCCTATGCGTACAACTACCCGATATACCATTGTGAAATATAGAAGATATGAGGAGAGAACGGACTACGGTACTTAAAAAGTAACGAGTTAGCAAAGAACAATGATTTCTGTCCTTTGAATCAACACTAAAATGAAATAGTGCAGGGATTGAAAACAAATACTTTCTGCCTTAAATATAGGTCGTCCTAAATATAGCAATAACAAATAATGTGCGAAAAAATAAACACCATTTCTGACAGCCAGTCTGCTATAATCTCAATTATCAATACAGAAAATCAATTTCCTTTTGCTTACGAAATCAATAAAATTTCAAATATCCTCACCAAACTGAAATTATAATTTTATGTGTTTAAGGCCATAACGGCAATGCCGGCAAAGGTATTGACGAGAACTTAGCTAAAGAAGCTGCCATTCTACAATGAGAATAATTTATTGACACCAGAATACCTAAGATACACCTTCGACGGCTGCTAAACAGAAATGATAAAAGGAAAAATGAATAGATCACAGCCTCAGTTGACAGGAGACAGAGGCACTATCATTCTACCAAGAGGTTAGGTGGTACGGTTTTGCGTCCTCTCATATCTAGCATTAGGAGATACAAATAACTTTTGCATGATATTTCTGCTGTCGTGGCTCGAAACATAATTTACATAATTATTACATTATTTCAGATACTTCAATTGCTTTACAGTAGAAAATACAATACTGGTAGTACACATTACAAATACACTTTACAGAATTTTACAAACTTGTATTGCGGGACATCCAAATGCAGTAGTAGTCCAAAGGGCATCTAGAAACAAAATGACTGAATATTAAAATTTTACTCTAGGCACTGCTCCTATTATCAAAATAAATACAAAATATTAAAATTAAAAAATAAAAAATATATATAACGTAGCATAGGCGGCTTCGAGTTTTGCAAGCTTGTCCATATCTGGGCGATCCTTGTCATCAAATAACTGCGTTCTACCAAAAATTTCCAGAAGTTATATTTAGTTCCAGTATTGTTACTGTTAAGGTGGTGTTCTCTGGTAAGTGGGAAGATGGTAAGATAATGGTCTGGAGTACCAATTTACCCACACACACAGAGGTCGTTGCTGCTGATGCCGTGTCTATTAAAATATTAGGGAAAGGGATCATGTTTTGTAATAAATCATGTTAATTAGGGGGGAATAATGTTGCGTTTGTCATCTATCTGTGTGGATTGGATTATTCAGTTATGGCAAAGCACACGAGGGCTATCTGCCTAAAGGGAAGGATGCTTTCGTGGAGGGAAACTGGCTAGTATACACGTTACACATGGAGGAAAACCACGAAAACGCCCATGCAGCCTGCCCGTTCGCGGGATTCGAACCTCGGACTGAACTACCAGTGTTCAGCGTCTTTACCGCTCGGCCGCTAATGGGCCATCTATCTGTGTGATGTAGTAGTATGTGTGGCGGCCTTGTTCCCATTCATTCCACTCTGTCATTTGATTTTTTGCCTTGCTTTTCATTTGCTTCTTCAGTATGTGTGTGGCCAAACTACTTGTAAATAATTAATATTTCCTGATGCTGCCTTTTGCGCTAATCTGTCACAAATTTCTTTTTTACTCATCACAGCATACGCGCTCATCTAAGAAAGAGCGATCTTCTGATGTTGATGCTTCCATAAATCTTTCTAGACTTTCGTAGTCAAAGGGGATACGTTATGATGGTTGAATGTAGCACAAGTGTTAACATGCTGTCTGTACGGATGGTGACGTCCTATAGGTTTTGTCGAGTGATGTACTGGAAAGCTTTGGAAATCGCTACTTCTCCTTGAAACACGGCATTGTTATTGCTTAGTCGCTGCTTCCTTAGGTGTAAGGTTTCTCCATGCTGAAGATGTGGTACACTGAAAACTTTCAAACAATAAAATCTGCAATTCTAGAGAAAAAGGGAGATGCATATTACTACATATATATATAATCTAACTCGTAAAAAGTGACCTTCGACTATGCAAAACTATAAATCTGGATTTTTCTCAATACGTTAATCATAACGCAACGGAATCTGCATCTTTAAAATAATCGAAATACAGCAAAGCCTCAACTCGCAGGGCCGAGATTTTTGCCAAATAACGCCGCAATCCCTTCCATATCTGCAAATGAACACAGAACTGTCCAATACCAAATCAGCAACAGCAAATTATTATCAGTTTCCAAGAAGATTTATAACTCAATATATAAAAATGCTCAACTACTATGAAATATGAACTGTTGATCCGAACTATAAACTTCAGCTCAGTGCAAATTACAAAGTTGCTGATATAACCCAAACATATTTCCACTAATCCCATTAGACTCTAAATAAGATTCAATATACGACAAAATTATGGATCCAGAAATGAACTAATACATAAATATTTATATAATGTAACTTAATTATTAATGTTTTATTAGTTGTATAATATGTATCGTTATATTGTTATTTAGATGTTGCAGTCGCATTTGTTAAATACTGTACTGTTTTTAATGCAGTATTACACCAATTAAATATTTTATTATGCCCCAAATTTATGAAAGACATTTCAGTAACTGCCCCTCGAAGTTTCTCAGGGATAGATAGGATTCTGTGAAATAAATATGGCTGATTATATCTATTCTTTACAGTCATGCAAAATAGCTGATACTCCCACCAGGCACCACTACAAGTGAAAAGACATACTCATGGGGCCTTATGGAAATTGTTGCAAATTCTAGATGGTTAGTTTGCTAGGACAATATCTGTCCAATTCTACAGCAAAGTTTCTTCACTTACCTGCGCCTACTATAACACAAAGGCCGCCCAGCACCGCTGACTGTCTTAACAATGAATCTGAGCTGGACGCAGTTTCGAATCCTTGGGAAGGTATCGATGTTTTTAAGCGTGAAAAGGTCTGCGCGAAAATGGGTACTCAGAGTCAAAAGTCTTATCGAGAGGTTGGTAATAAGCGAAGAAGGGCAATAGACACTCGGAGCACTCCTCCGGGGGGGTGTTCTACCTTAAAATGGGGCGGAAACTTAACATTTTACCAAGTTCAGCAATATCTTGGTCACTTGTGGTACTAGAGTTGCTGGATTAGTTTCTACTATTATCCGTTACGATACGGATGGATCAGGAAAAAATTATAATACCAACTAAGAAAATATACTAATAAACCCTGCTTCATACTATGAAGAGATATATGAAATTTACAAAATGAATTTAAATATAAAACAAGGTACCTCTTCATCGTGTAATGAAGTGGTTTATAATTATAGATCTTCATTTAAATATACATTTAATCAGAAAAAAGGCTAAGAACATAAAAATCTCAATCTCTTAATAAAGCACGTCACAGAAAACTACAAAGTTGGCAACTTCAACAAAGTATGGCAGGATATTACTAATCAAAAATACTTAACAAAATATATAAGAAAAAATTTGAAGTTGTTACACAACTATTTACAGGCATAAACATTTAAATTTATCCCTTTTTCCTCATCTGTCAACATGTACAACAATTTTAGCTCTAAAACCAAATTATCTTCTGCGATCACTAATGATTAAGGTTTTGAAACGCACATGCAAAACTGAAGGTTATTCTGTTATATTTATTTTCACATGCTTATCAAGATGTATTTTAAGATTGTTATTTGAACGTTTGAGTACTTGATTTGTTTTTCCATACTTTTTTTCTTTACTGTTAAAGGGACAGTATTGAAAGCGAAAACTTTAAATTTTAGATGCAAAACAGAACCAAAAAAATAAAAAATTAGATTTACAAATTTTAAATAGAAAAATGCATGCGTGAGATGGCTTTAGAAGCTTTAGCTCTCCTTTGCATACTATATCAAAATAAATATAAACCTAGTGTTTTTTTAATTAAAATATCAAAATTTTAACGCAGTAATAAATAGTTATTCTAGTAGTCTTAATGTATTCCAGTAGTCTTAATGTACTTATTAACGATGTCCGCCGATAACATCGCGGCAAAAACATCGCAGACGAAAACGTCGCGGAGAAAACAATGGGAGGCGAAAACGTCGTGCTACAAAACATCGTGGGAGAAAACATCGCAGTCTAAAACATCGTGGTACAAAATCGTCATCGAAAATAAGCGTTCAAAAACGCAGTTTAAAAACATGTCGTCGAAATATCTTGTAAAAAATAAGTATCTACAAATCATCGCATACGATAAATCGCAGACATGCTTTATTTTTTTCAGGCCTTTAATAGTAATTGTAAATGGATATTCCTATAATGATTGAGGCAAGATGGAGAAGGTAAATTTAATTTCATATTTTTATTAACTAATCATTTTTGCTGATAAAGTAAGAAGGAAACTAGCATAGAAAGTAATGCAATTATAGCACTTAACAGAATTTTAAACCGACATAGTTAACTAACAAAGATCATTTATAATTTACTTAAGCTTTTATAGTAATTTCATGAAAAGTTAAATCTAAAAAAGCTGAAAAAATAAAGAATGTAGCGATGTTATCGTCATGCGATGATTTGTAGATACTTATTTTTTACCATGATATTTTCGAAGACGATGTTTTTCAAACTGCGAGTTTTTGAACGGCTTTATTTTCGACGAAGATATTTTGTACCACGATGTTTAGACCTGCGATGTTTTCTCTTTGCGATGTTTTCTCCCACGATGTTTTGTAGCACGACGTTTTCGCCTTGCGTTGTTTTCTCCGCGACGTTTTCGTCCGCGATGTTTTTGCCGCGATATTTTCAGCTGTAACCCTTATTAACATTTTAAGACTGATTAGTTTGAAATTATTATACAGATTGGTATGAATCCAACTATTTCATAAAGTAATCACGTTTTAGAGAAATAGTTGTAAAATTAAAGAGATTCACTGCATTATGATAAACAAAAGTATTATTTGTTTATTTTATAAAATTAGCAAAGAGTTCATGTCTTTCTAATTTAAATTTCAGACAGATAAATATTGATTTGTTTTACAGTTTGCAAGATTTAATGAGATTTTACTTTGATTATAGATAAAACTGAAATACAGAAGAATTAAAGCAAGTATCGCTACATTTTTACTTATATTTTAGATTGGATAAGTTTAACAGTACAGGTGAATTTTTTTAGTTTGAATTCATTAAAACTGCATATGAATTAAAAATTATTTCGGTAGAAAAGATACTGCTGCCAATCGGTAATTTTCTAATATTCGCTTTCTAGATTATTTTGGTGAAAAATTCGAACAAACTGTTTTTTAATGCGATTTATGCAACTATTTGCTTTTTGATATGTTTTGATCAAAATCATCCAAAATGTAATATCATTGATATTAATATTCACGAAAGAATTTTGTAAGTCTCATGAGAACAAAATAGTAAATAAAAAGGGTAAAATAGTAAATAACACTATATAATGTAATAGAAAGGGCATTAGAGTTACTATCTTGTAGCAGTTTGGCGATTTTTTACAGAAGAAATAGAATGGGTTTGGTCTGGTTTATGTGATTACGGCAAAACCTCGAGGGCTTATCTGCATAAGGGAAGGGACACCTTCTTGATGGAATTTCTAAGGGAAATTGGCTAGTATACACGTTACACATGGAGATAAACACGAGAAACTCCCATGCAGGCAGCCCGTTTGCGGGATTCGAGCCTCCGCCCGAACCACCAATATTCAGCGACTTTACCGCTCGGCCGCGGATGGGCGTAGAAGAAGAAATAGAATGATGACTTAAAATTGTAAAACATTATTACATGTATGCAAATTTATATATACAGGTTTTATTTTTTAATTAGGTATTTATCCTGATAATCAATCAATATATATATATATACCTACAAGCAAGTTTTTGTTTGTCTGTTTCTGGCGGAATTTCACGGCTATCGTCTTAAAAATAGGTTCAATGCATTTATTCGCTTTATCGATTGAGCAACATACTGTATTCCTGCAGAAATTTTACCTCAAATATTTCCACTGTAGGCAAATATCACACAGGTGCATATTTTAAAATAGAATTGAACACACAAATATCACGATCTGTCTACAAAAACATTGAAACTTGCAAACCAATAAAAAGAATGCATACCAAATTGTGAATGTTACTTTTAAAATTGAATATTTTTTATATACATGGTTCCTAGAGTTTATCTTTTCTGAAAATTTAGCAGCTTTTGCTGAGGTGGATAAAAATTTGGCAGAAAATGGAAAATCGCTGCTGCAAAAATGAACATCAAGATTCAGTTATTTTTTCTACTAAAAATATTTTACCAATAACTTAAAAAAAAATACATACTGCAATTTTACATGGATTGTACAAAATTTAACTGAATTTTTCCACAGTATTTTACTTAATCAGCACATATCGAATTCTCAGAATGTTTTACATTCTCCTGTGGATTAGGTGGGTAAGACCGCATAACACTGGTAGTGCAGCTCAAACTGAAATAAAGCAAAACAGGCTAGCTGCATGTTTGATGATTTTTCCTATGAATAGTTGAAGTACCAAGCAGCCAATTAAAAAAAACCTTCACTATGGTTTTACTATTTTCGGCTCATAAACCTCACCTAACTTATTTCAATCAATTAACCAATAAACTTCGGAATATCTTGCAAATAATTTTTTTTCTCAGCATTTCATGTTAAACCCGATTTTTATTGCTGTGATTTAAATCTAAAGCTTTCTTACCACATTATGCATTAATATACGGATTAAGTTAGATCATGCAGGTATATTATAGCAAAACACCTAAAAATATCTGCACTAAAAAGAATACCTTCGTAGAAAATGTTCCGAGAGAAACTAGCTTGTATTTATAATATACATTTAGGAAATGCATAATAGCATGCTTATACCTCATACAAATTTAATAAGGAGTATTTTCTCCTTATTAAATGTTTCCTAAAAGTAATTTAACAACTTCACATAATTTATTACAAAAAAATAAAAGTTGTAATAATAATAATATTCATTTTAAACTAATGAAAGTAATTGTAAATGGAAATTTTATATAAGTAAAATAACACAAATTATTAAAGCATATACAAAAAGTTATGCTTAGATAATAAATAAAATATCAAAGCATGTGAAGCAATGGTAAAATTGTCCGAAATTACATTTAGTTCAAAGAGACTTAGACGTAATAAGAACTTACATGAAAAGTTAACTCCGGGAGATTTCTGGCAGACAAAGTAAAACCCCTAAACATAGGCAGGCCCAGTTCTTAAAAGTTCTCAGCAAATGAGATACTGACCGTGATTCCGTTGCATCAATGGACCCCGCTCGCCAAATGCTTTTCAGACACTTAAAGCAAAATTCAAATTCAAGTTGAAATTAACCAGCTGATACGTTTGGTAAGTGCAAGTCTTCTTCTTTCACCCGAAGTCTAAATCGAATTATTTTTCTGATTCAAATTAAATTTTAACAAATACTGATAAGGGGTTCTTCTGATTAATTCAGAGAGGTCGAATAAATTATAGAAGTTAATTTATCTGATTTCATGAATCAAAATTAAGAAATTTATACATTTGATTTTATATACATGTTTTCATTCATTATTTCAATGTAATCTAATGGAACTGAATTAAAAAACTTTAAGATGCATTTATTTTACACACCGAATCAAGATAATACTTCTATCCGAAACTTTCAAAACAATTATGGCACATAGGTTTTTATAAACTTTAAATTTCGCTTTTTTAATTTCAACATGGAGCTTTGCATCTAATAAATTATATGGTTAATATTTACTTTAAATTGTTTGTTGGTGCAAATATAATAATAAAATTAGCCAACATTCAACCTTCCATGCGTTTCGAAGGAATCTGGTACAGGTCTGTCTTCTTTAAGAATCCAAATGATTCTCTAGCATTTCGTTAAAAATACATCATTCAAGGAATATATTTCTGGCAATAATTTGTTTCCAGAACTGCAAAAATAATTTTGCGCTTTGAAGAGTAAAGAACTAAGCCAGATTCCTTCATAATGAATAGCATTCTATTGCTATTAAACTAATGCTCATCCGAGGCTGAACTCTACCTTATTTTAAAGTTGGATGTTTTCTTTCTAATCGGTGAGATGTAATAATTTGGTGAAAATGTTAGTTTGTTTATTGTTTAGTTTGTTTTGGATTTACGTCGAAAAATCCCTTTAACCTAAACAGTGCAGAAAAAAGTCATTGAACCGTTGAAAGATTAGTCCAAAAGAACCATTGAAAGAATGCAAAAATTAGTCAGTCTTTAAACCATTTGTTTTTCATTATTAAATCATTTATAGAGGGGAATGTGTTTTTAACACGGAAAACCAGAAGTTTAAGTATATTTGAATCAAAAAAGGATTAAAATGTTAAGCAAATCTCTTAAGAAAATGACACTACGCAGTTTTTCGATGTAGTTTTCACGTCAAAAATTTATACAAAATATGTCAAAAACACATTCAAGTATTCCAAGAAGGAGTAATTACTTTTCGAAAATTTAAGATGAGATTACTCATTACCATTACTAAGAATCAGGGTATCTTTCATTAGCAACAGGTTATAAGGTATTTCTCCCGCCTAAGCATGTCTTCGTGGTATAGTAGTCAGCACGCTCGACGCTTATTCGAGAGGTCCGTGTTTCGAGTCCCGGTGAGAGCATTGCTCATTTTTCATCTGTCCTGCTTCGAAATAATCTAATGTCTCTACAGTGGCGTCCGAACTAAAAAAGGTGGTCGATGATGATTCTCCACCACCAGGATTTGGCGATTGAGTCCCCTTATCTCCTGTCACCCTTTAAAAGGGGGAGTATATAAGGTATTTCTACCACCTTCTTAGCATGCTTTCGTGGTGTAGTGGTCAGCATGCTCGACGTGTAATCGAGAGATTTGTGGTTTGAGTCCCGACGAAGGCATTGCTCATTTTTCATCTCTCCTGCTTCGAAATAACCTAATGTCTCTACAAATAAAAGTAATAAAAGAATAATATTACCATTTCGAGGGTAAAAAATGGAATGATAGTAGTTGCCTGTTTGAGGCAATAGAATAACACTTTAAATTTTCTGAAGTGAATTTGTATATTTTAATACTGCCATGTGGTCGTATTACTAATTCATATGCTTTAATAAGTAATTAGTTAAGATATCATGTACCTATAGTTATGTAAAGTATTATTTTAATACCATATTACTAACCATTTCATATTGGGACAAAAACTCTCATGTCAATTGGGATAGTTTAAAAGTTTAATTTATATATATATATATTGCTTTTAGAGCATAATGACTACCACATTTGTTACCAACGGAATAATGTCTAGTACATACTTTAGCCAAGCCACGGGTCACCGCGTGACCCATTTCATAATTTAAAGTGACTCACTTGAGTTCCAAAACTAAAGTATAATACATGAAAATAAATTATAAAACATAAATATGAAACGAATACTTGAAGAATGCATAAAAGACCGAAAATAAATAATAACATGATCATTTTTTTTATTACGAAGTTGCAGTAACGAATATGTATTTTTATTTATAAAAAATATAAACTATAACATAATTTCAAAGAGAAACCACTAAGTTCGCCGACCTATAATCCGTAATTAAAAATAATGCAATTGCCATTTTGCCCGTATTCGGTTCAACTTATAAAATGAGAGCAAATATTTTCACAGATGAAATTTATTTTAAAAAAGAACAGGAGCAGCTTAACTACTGAAAATTCAGATGCGTCTTAAGACTGCTGACTAAGCCAGACCTGACTAAATTGATGTCACAAATTCAATATCAAGGGATCCACTGATATCACAGAGAAAAATAAATTCCATTCTGTTGTGATTATTTTTATAATAGTTAAAATTTACGTATTAATTTTTAAAGTTTTAAGCGTATTGTGATTATTTTCGCTATAAAATTTATCTTATTATTCATTAAGAACTTAACCATTGACCCGAAATGTCTTCTTAATATACGTATTTTGGTTGATTTTGACCCGCAGCCGAAAAACAGTTGCTGACATATGGTCTAATACTTATATTTTTTAAGTTCACTAAATGAGAATTCTTAAAAAAATCATAAAATTATGTATAAGATTACGAGATAGAAGAAATTTTGCTTTCAAAGTAAACATTCGGTGGTAATACATAACATATATATTTATTTGATGAGTCTTCCTTTTGATAATGGCTCATCCTTTTGGTAATGGGATAACCAATTAGCAGCTTTTCCTTTCGATAATGGAGAGGCGTTTAAAGCAATAAAGTGCCTATTATGTAGTGCCATGGCTATGCCTCAGAGGATATGAAATTCAAGAAAAATTTTATAAATATTTTTACTTTTGAGAATGACATTGCAGGGTAAGGACTTTCGAAGATTTCATGTTATGTTATTTATAAAAGTGTTATATGTTTTCATGTTATTGTTTTCAAAAATACATGCTTTCGTATATTGTCACGTAATATATATTTTATGCAAAGGAAAATTTTACAAACGTATCAAAAGAGGCACTAGAACTGCATAAAGGAGAGAAAGATGGAAGAAAAGACATTTTGGAAAATTAATCTATTGTTACTTCCTGTGAAGATACACTATTTCCTCTTTATGGCAGGTAATGGATTCTTTTATCTTTTTTTTTCTCTTTTTAATGTCTATGCTAAGCTAAATTAACACATTTTGAATTGGGTAAAAGCAAAAATAGAAAGAGCTCTGTGAGTGAAATTTAGATTATGAAAATGAAAATCAACTTTCTCGGAATCATTGATAGAGATATCTACGACAAAAGATAAGAGAGTTCTTAGAAATGTTTTTAAAATTAACTGAATGCTTTATTCATTTTTATTTCAACTGTGCAAGATAAATAAAACATAACTAAATTAAAATGTAATACAAGAAAAAGTTCATGAAGTTGTGGGATAAAAGCAAATATTTTTAATGCAGAAAATTACATAGTTGAAAACTTTACAGCTTAGTTTGAACCATTCACCGATTTATATGAGTTTTACATACATGGTATCCAATAAGTATGGGTTATTACATACGTACGTGCACACGTTTAGGATAAAATTGGGTTATTACTTGCATGGTATGTAATAAATATGGATTATTACATGAATACATACATAAATTTAAAATAAAATTCTAACTTTAATCTGTAACAATCCTTAACGTAACCCATTTCTGTCCAGAAAATTGTCATGTACTTTATAGTTAATCTTTCTGAAATGCATCATTTCAAATTAATCCTCCTCATACGGTTCTTGTAGCATTAGACAATAAACAGAAATGTTATGTATACTGCGAAAAAGAAAAATAAAGGGCAGTTCTATTTCTCCCGCTCTACTGCGTCGATTGACGAAATTCAGCTTGCGTTTTTCGTCTCAGAAGCGCGACTTAGGATATGTATTAGCTTTATATATAGCATTGTTCTAATATAGGTATTTTGACACAAAATCGGACCTTTTCTGAAATGACATAATTTTTTTTTTATATTTCGATTTTACGACTAAGATTACGATAAACTGCCAAGTGTTAAGTTTTGTAAAAATCGCAGTAGTTTTTAAAAAATTATGTCTCAAAATTTTAGATCCTTAATGTTAATTGAATTTGGTATATATATATGTGTGTGTGTGTATACTAGTTGATACCCACCCGCTTTGCTGGACACAATATCTATTTGAATGTAAACCTAGACTTCTTATATGGACGAAATGTGTAATTTCGAACTGAAAATTAATGTAAATTTTTTTAATTTAAAGTCGGGAAATATACTGCCAGTCAATGAATCTGTCATACACTGATTTCCACATCCCCATGAGGTACTGTGTATTGGGATGCGTTCCCATTATTTAACGTGGCGGGATCCCCAGTAGGTCTACACCACGAAAAATTGCCAACATAAAACTAAGGTTTATATATATTTAACTAATTCAGAAGTCAAACAACAAAAATATAACGCTGATTTTTGTTGTGATACCAATTTAATAATTTTAAAGGAAAATGCATTCATTGGCAACATTGTATTTTATATCTAGTTTTCACAACAATAAAAGAAAATTCTGAATTCGGATTTGAAAAACCAAATGTATGAGAAACTTCTACTGTATAACAAAATTCCATTTTGGACAGGATTTACGTAAAATCCATTCCTAGTGCGCGTCTACGTCGTGGAATGAGTAGCTATGCCAAATTTCAAGCCAACAGGGTGTATAGTTTCGGAGATTTTGTGATGAGGCAATGGTATTTCGCTTATGCACTCTTAGACAAAAAAAAAAAAAAAAAAAGTACGCACCACGACGCACCGGGAAGATATAAATCAAATTGGACACAAATTGATATGCATACAGGTTTCGACGGAAAATGCAAAATTTTACATTTTGACTGCCAATGAATGAACGGTTGTCGCTACAGTGCATCTGATCTGCGCAATTGGCAGGATATTTAAGAGGAGAAATTACGATTCCGGGTCATAAATTCTGCACGAATTTCATTCCGTGTACTCTGGTATAGAGTAACTATGCCTCGCATACAGGTGCGCGAACGATATGCGCAGATGTCAGAATATTAGAGAGGTCGTGTAGTTGGGCTCAAAGAAGCCGACTGGTCTTATCGGCGAATAGCTCGACATTTGAGCAGGAGCGATGCCACAGAAACGACAGAACGTGAAAACCGAGCAACTGTCAGAGTGGCACTCACAGCCCCAAATGCATCATTATCCTCAATTGTACATGCAACTAGTGCTTCAGTGACCGCAAGGACCATTCATAGACGGCTCACAGAAAGGGGAGCTGAGGGCACGGCGCCCCTTGCGCCGACTACCATTGACCTCTGTACAACGTCAAGCCCGTTTGCAGTGGTGTCGGGCTCATTCGCACTGGAATGTCACTGACTGGAGTAGAATAGTCTTCAGTGATGAGTCCCGCTTTGAACTGAGCTCCGATGACCGCTGGGTTGACCTTCATGTCACGCCACCTTGGGCTTACATTTCAGCAAAATAATGCCCGCCCCCACACTGCACTTGTTTCTTCTGCTTGCCTTAGTGCTTGCCGAACATTACCTTGGCCAGCAAGGTCGTGGATCTCTCTCCTATTGAGTACGTTTGTAGCATTATGGGCAGGGCCCTCCAACCAGCTCGCGATGTTGACTATCTAACACGCCAGTTGGACAGAATTTGGCACGATATTCCTCAGAAGGACATCCGCAACCTCTATCAATCGATGCCAAGCCGAATAACTGCTTGCCATAAGGGCCAGAGGTGGACAAACGCGTTACTGACTTTTTCACTTTGTGAAGCCACTATCACTTCAATAAATCAGCCAATTTTTCTCAAACTGTAATAATTTGTTTTTCTTTACATGTACATTACTGCTACCGATTTTTGTCCCATTCGAATAATTCCTTCTTGGTGCGTCGTTATCTTTTTTTGTCTAAGAGTGTATATATATAGATTATTCTTATATATATAGATATAGAGTGTAAATATATAGATCTTTTTTATTAAACTTATTTAATTCTTCCCTTCACATTGCAAAATTTAGGTTCATTCCAAAGAAAATTCGCCCATTTTTTATGATTTATTTTTAAATTATATTTATAAATTTTTTGAAAAACATTTTGAATTATAAGCTATAATATTTTTACCATCATCTTAAAATAGATGTATTTCTAATCATACATGTAAAAAATTTTTAATTCAAAATTTCCGAATTGAATTTATATATTGGCGCGTTTTGAAATTTCGCATATTTGTTGACAGTGATAAAACATGGGGTTTAGGCACTTTGTTAAAATTATTTCAAAGTAGGAACGATGTGACTTCCCCCTCCTCGTGCACAATGTAAAAAGGGAAAGGAAAATTCGTTGCCTTATATTAAGAAGTCCGCTAAGTGAATTATGCTTGGCGCAAACTGAAAAAATTGATTCAAGATAAATTGTTTAATTTCTCCGTAAATTTCGCACTAAATTTTACAAAATTCAGTATCTAGACATAATTTGAGTCTAAGAATCGAAATATGGAAATAAATTGCATGTAATTTCCGAGAAAATCTGATTTTGTGTCGAATTACCTGTATTAGAACAATGCTATATATAAATGTAATATATATCCTGAGTTGCGCTTCTGAGACATGAGAAACGCAGTTTGAATTTTGTCAATCGGCCCGGGAATGGAATATATTGAACTGTCCTATTTTTAGTCCATAGGGCCAATTTTCCCTGAAGGATTATTAATTTTGTTTTGGCATTTTACGTTGAAAACTATAAACAGTGAATTACTTTTCAAATTGTTGCTACTAAATATTATCGCCCTGTATTATATTGAAAGAAATTAAATAAAAGAAGAATCTGCATGAATGTATGAATGTTTCTCGCATTGTGATAAAACAACGGTACCTAGAGCCATCAAAATTTGAATAACGTAACCTTTCATAGAATATGGTCATGTGGAAGCCCGAGTTTGAAATTGGTTTTATTATCGATTTCATATTTTGTAACACTTCAACGAATTCAAAGCTAGCAACGGCAACAGTATACGGGGGGAAAAATTGGTACTAGTATTCGATTTTGAGGGCCGTAAAAAATCGCCAAGCTATTGTTGATGCCAGTGCTGCCAAAAATAATTGCGGCAACCCTAACGCAAGAAGGGAAGTATAATAGTAAATAACTATCTAAGATTGATGTTTTAATTTAGATGAAAGGTTAATTTCATATAATACTTTTTTATTATTATAATTTGGTATAAAAAAAGGCTAAACATGGCTGAATGGAAGCATAAGAGTAAATAACTTATTTTAGATCATTATTATAGTTTATATAAAAAATTAAGCTAAACATAACTGAATGGATGCTTGCATCGCTATTTTCGCTACCGAGTTATCGCTAAAGCAAAATTTCATCTCGTTGGTTGTTCAAACATAATTTTCTATAATGAATGATGCCTTTTCTTTGAAAAAATTCTCGGTAAAGTGCAGAATCACCCACTTATTTGTTTGCCGCTTTTTACAAGGGTAAAAAAATTGGATTTTTGTCAATTTTCTTTTACTTTTTAAGTGAAAATAGGTCGATGTGTACATAGATAAAGTCAAGGGTGTGCGCAGTGCCATTTTTGTGCCATTCTGGGATTTTTTTTGAAGTGAAAATAGGTCGATGTGTACATGGATAACGAGTATGTGCAATTCTTAAGAACGCATCAAGCAGTGGATGATTCTGCACTTTACCCAAAATTCTATTGCAGGCTTGTCGTCATGGGCAATTCCCAAATTAAATCCATAAGATATCAAAAAAGGATTTAAAATCAAAAAAGAATTTAAAATCAAAAAAGGATTTAAAAATGAAACTAATACTTCAGTGGTGTCTTAAGAAATATAGAAATAACTTACGCAATATGAAAACTTACGCAATATAGAACTTACGCAATATGAAATCAGCGCGTATGCTAGATATGGCGCGCTGTTAAATGGGCGCGTTTGCTAGATTTGGCGCTTTTGCGCATACATTTTCGTTGCAATTTTTTTACGGTCCTCAAAACGGAATTGTACCAAAAAATTATCTACAATGCGCGAGACTCTCTATCGAAAATTCTAAAGATATGCTCATTTAAAAATTATTTTGCGATATTGCTGTTGAACTGAATTTTTGGGTTTGAGTAGGTAGAACATGATATTTAATAAATGAAGTTAATACGTAAAACGTTAAAAAAACGCCCCTTTGGACATAATTTAAAATCTGAAACCTTTTAGATTTTTTTTCTTCTTTTTTAAGTCCAAAAAGCCTTTGTCCTGAAAGACTATTCATTTCGTTTTGCCATTTTGCATTGAAATCTTTAAAAGACTGTATCACTTTTCAAATCGTTGCCAACAAATTCTATCGCCCTGTATTATATTTGAAGTAATTAAATAATGAAGAATCTGCATAAATGTATCTATGTTTCTCGCATTGGGATAAAACAACGGTACCTAGAGCTATCCAATTTTGAATGACGTAATCCTACTGCGAATATGGGCATCTGAAAGCCCAAATTTGAAACTTGGAATTTGTTTTATTATCGATTTCATATTTTTCTAAAACTTTAACGAATTTTTGATTAACAAACTCAACGATTTAAAAGCAAGCAATGGTAACACTCTATTGAGGGGGGATCGTTTTATCTCCAGCGCGCGTAACTGTGTATCGGAACTTCTAAAGATATGCTCATTTTAAAATTATTTTGCGACATTGCTGTTGAACTGAATTTTATGGTTTAAGTGCAAAGACCATGATACTTAATAAATAAAGGTAATACACAAAACGTTAAAAAAACGCCTCTTTGGACGTAATTTAAAATCTGAAACTTTTCAGTTTTTTTTTTCCCGCAGTGTATATAATACTAAAATAACTTTAAAATATTCGGTTCATCTAAAGAGATTACGTAGCAACTGAAAGGTTTCTGAAAGGTTTTAAATTTTATCCAATCTTCACCTGAAGTATTCTGACGGTGTTCAGTATGTGAATAAACTAGTGAGCTAAATTATTCATGTTAACTTAAGATTTCACACTTAGGACTCAAAATACTTGTACATTGAGCATATCTTCTGAAATTAACACATCATACAAAATATGAATTTCCCTAAAAATTAAAAATCAATCATTGAATTAATAATGCATACAAAATTTGAATTTTATCGATCAGTTCAACAGCAATTAGCAATAAAAAAATAAGCTTAAAATCATTCTTCATAAGAGAGAATGCAATATTTAATAATGAGCTGAAAATACGTTCCAATTCCTTTTGCAATTGATTGTCAAAATAATAATAATAATAATAACAAGAAAATTATTGTTATTTTTATTGTTTTAAAGTTTTTTTTCCCTTTATTTTAAATCTATTTTATTTACAGCTTTGGCATGTGCGTTACCTTTTCGGACTGTGTTTGCTAAGCAATTAGGGATCTCAGCCACAGCTATTGGAGTAATATTTCTCGCCGTTCCATTTTTGAAGATATTCACAAACCCATTATTTGGTTTTATAGTTGACTACTTTAAAAAATTTCGCTTGGTTTTAACAGTGCTTATGCTTATAGTGGCCCTGACACATGTCGCTATGGTGTTCATTCCGCCTAGGCTTGTGACAACCAGTAAAGCTGCTGATTTTACAAATTACTTACGAATCAAACATGTACATTATAATTGTTCAGAAGAAATCTCAAACAAAAGAAACATTGATCTATATATGTGGACAAGGAAAACATCGGAAATCATCAGCTTTCAGAACAGAAATCTCACTTGCCAGTTACACTGTTATGCATCACAAGGCCTGTTGAATAATAAAGAAAGTACAGACTATATTGAATTATGCGACAAAAATGTGAGTTTTATAATAGCAATTAATATTAAAATTAAGGATTGTAAACTTGAAATTCTGCCGAAAGATGAAAATGTTAGTATTGTCATGAATAATGTTTCAACAATTGCGAGGGTAAAATCTGTTAAAATTCCCGGAGAAGACGATAGAAATTTGTCCTGTAACACTTACGAGGCCAATAAAAGAAATTACCCGCCTAATATGTTTAATAATGTATCTATCTTAACAACAACTCAAACTTACGAAAATATTTCACGAAAGATTCTAAATGACAGTCACTCAACTTGGTATTTTTATTTATCTAAGGACAATGTATTCGATTACTTACAGAATGATTACACTGTATTTTCCATTAACAATAAAAGGAATTTCATTGATTGTCATTGTAAAGCACAGCTTCAATGCTTCATTAAAGACTGCCATTTTAATTTAAAAACTACACATTTATTACTTGATGAACATAGAGATGATAGCGAAGAGTTTCTTTCTGAGCAATTCTGGGGGTTATTTATTCTTATCGGTGTGTCAAGTGTCACTTTTTGCGCTGTTATATTCCTGATGGATGCTGTGTGCTACGAAATGTTAGGCCACAGAATTGATTTGTACGGACAACAAAGATTATGGGGAACAATAGGTTGGGGCATTGGTGCTCTAGTAGGAGGATACCTCAATGATATAGCAAGCGTTTCATCAGTAGATATAGATTATTCTTTTAGCTTTTATTTACTTGCTGTTTTGACATTGTTAGATTTAATTCCGGTTTGCAAACTTAAAGTAGAAAATGTGCATTATTCACTTCACATTTGTAAAGATGTCGGGTTGTTGTTGTCTAAACCATCAGTTGTCTTCTACGTTTTTATTGTCTTCGCCATCGGTGTTCTTTCCGGCTTGATATGGAACTACCAGTTCTGGTTTATGGAAGAAATCGGAGCTAGTCAAGTACTTTTAGGCCTTTCTCAGACATTCGAATGCATTGTAGCTGAGTTGCCATGCTTCCTTATATCAGGATGGATCATCAGAAAAGTGGGACATATAAACTGCAATAGTATAACTCTTCTGTGCTTTGGTCTTAGATATCTATGTTTTGCATATATGCAAGATCCATGGCTGACCCTTCCAGTAGCACTTCTTCATGGACCAACGTTTGGAATCTTCTATTCCTCAATGACGATGTACGGTAAAAGTGAAGCACCACCGGGTACAGAAGCTTCAGTTCAAGCTTTACTAGCCGTGGCATTTGAAGGTGTAGGTAAGAAAATTTTAATTTCACTTATAATTACATTTTATTATAACTGTCAGTGCTTCATACTAACTGCATTGTTCTGTACTCAAATAACGCATACTTAGGAAACCACTGTGAAAATGCTGCTGTGACACAATAATATATAGTATGTATTTGTTCATTTTATATCTTGGTATAATTTTGTATATATTTGTTTCGTTTAATATTATACAAACAGAGTAATTACAATTAGAAATATAATTTATGTGTGTTGGTTTACTTGAACATAGAACTCTGAGTCTTTTGAGTATAGATTTCTGATGCATTTCTCATTGATTTCTACCTAACTAAAACTATAAACAAAAATGTAACAAAAACAAATATAAATAAATATATACAAGAAAAATATTGCTCATTATATTCAAGAAAACGAACATAATGAGTTTTTGATAGAAGAAACGGAATAGGATTCGTTGGAAGAGGTTATCGTCTAAGGGGCGAACATATAGGGATTAGTGCGAGCCTACACTGAGCGAGGATTTGATCTGCGGAAGATATTACCTCATACATAAGGAGAACTGCTTAATTTTAACTATGCTGATCTATTACAACATACATTTACAGCAAAGTGTCAACAAAAGCATATTCCATTTTATACAATATAAAAGACAAAAGCATTGTAGCACATGTAGAGGGATTCTAAAATATTTGACAAAAAATGTAAAAGAAGGTAGAGTGGACTGAAACAAGCACATTTTTTAATGGAATGTGTGTGTAGAAGAAAGGTAGCTTTCGCTGGAGTAAATTCTCATTCCCAATGCATATTTCAAACAATGTGCCTCGCTACACAAACATAAAATTCCCCGACATATGTGGAGTTGTGGATGAAAACGAAAATCTTTCTGCAAGATATCTTGGCACAACGTCTTTCCGACGTTCTTCCAGATGCTTGTATACATGTGTACTCCCAGTATGATGGAACGCGAGCTGACTTAATCAGCGACGTCAGAAATTATCTCGGCGTTACTTATGATTGCACTAGATCAAGGGTTCTCAACAGGTGGTACGTGTATCACTAATGGCACGCAAGAGAAAAATAGGCGGTACTCAAAGAAGCAAAGTATATTTAACTATTAAATACAAAAATTAAAACCCCAACATCTGGATTGAAATTTTTCTCTAACACTCGTAAATTTATATGATGTGATATTTGTTCAAAGGAGGTGGTGGTAATAGTACTTTGTAGTGGTGTACTAAAGGTTTTCAATTTTTCTTTAGATGGTACGCGTTAGTCAAAAGGCTGAGAACCGCTGCACTAGATAATTTCTTTGGCCACTACGATCAGATTTGAATATGTATAGATTTCTTTTTATAAGAGCACATTAAGAGTATGATCTGCGAAAATTATTACTATGTCCGATAAAGATCTAGTAACCAGATTGTCAGTTGCTGCTGGATATGTGCGTGCAATGCATGCGATCATTACTAATGTTCACCATTCTATGTACCGACGCTGTTATTCTTATATTCTCGTTGGTGGTTGCGCTTTCGAACACCTATCGTAAAATGTTGAATGCTTGAAATATTCATTGTTTTTTTACTTTATCTGTCTTTGCTTCCCTGCTGTTTATATCTTCTTTTGTGCTAACACTGACTTGCGTCATTTCCGCACACACATTCCATTCCAAAATCGGCTAATTTCGGTATCACCTTCACCCGCCTTTTGAGTTTTACCAAATATTTTACAATCACCCTACATAATAATTATATTGATAAATTGGACGATTACTAATTAATGTTTATTATTTATATTATTAATGAACAGCACTGAATATATTTTGAGTTTGTGTAGTGTCGATACATTCCACACTACCACTAAAAGTTGTTCACCATAAAAACAAAACATTGAATAAATTATTGAATGTATGAGTTGCATTAAGTTGCACTTATTGAATGTATATTTATTATAAAAGTTTGTAAGTTTATGATTAAAAATGTGTGATATCCATGCCAATGAATTAAAGTATGCAAGCAATTTTACATCACATTTAATATGGTATAACATTCGAATACAATTCAGTTTTCAATCTATTTTGCATCATTCAGAATAGAATAAAGCAAATAATGGTGAGAAATAAATTCTGCATAGATAGTATTTAGGAAACCGGCATTAAAATTTAATTTAGTCTATTGTCCCAATTTTATCTTGTAATAATTTCGGATAATTTTTACTTGTGCTTATTATTAATGCGCATGTTGTTATTACGCTTGTTATTATTGTGAGTCAATTTATATTTTAAAGAACTCACTAGCTTTCCGCACTTGTGATATTAATCTTACAGCGCAGATTTTTTTTTTTTTTTGAAGTGGGAGTAAAATTTTAAAATCTTCAGTATCTTAAGATTACTTCAGAGATAATGTGTTTTATGTTCGAAAGTTTATATCAATTTTACCACAGGGCGAACTTAAGCAATCGCTTACAGAGATTCAATTATTGAGGCACCAGTCTCACTCATTAATTCTGAGTTAGGCAGGCACCTATTTTTAATAGGCGAACGGTCGACACCTATCCCCTACGCGCTTAACCTAGGGTTAATAATAAAAACGATAGCTAGTTAAACATTTTTATTTTTAAGAAAATAATATATTAATTAATATTAAAAAAATGCTATAAGTAAATATAGAATAAAGCCTCTTTGACTAACACACCTCAAAAGCTACCGATATTTCTAAGAACACAAAGAAATATGAGTAGTTTCATCACCTGTTTAAGATGATCAGTTTCACAGACCACAATGATTATCTTCACTTGGTGTTAAAGAAAATTTTAGTCTCTTTAAACCCGAGTGAAGATAATAATATAGATAGATAGGTAAGCAAGCAGATAAATGGATAGACAGGTAAAAGATAGGTAGGCAGATAGATAGATCGAGATAGATAGTAGGTAGACAGACAGACAGACAAATAACTAGATAGGCAGACAAACAGATAGGTAGATAGATAATGTTTTTTAAAATGCATACCACAGCTCGTTGACAAATTTATCTCGCTGCATATGTGCACATTGGTGTTATAAAATGTTTTTAGGTGTTTAATTTTTTGTTGCTAACAGCCTACATTTAAAAAAATTAAATAAAATTAAAAAAAAGAGAATCCTAATCAATGACATACAGACAGTATAACATGGGAGCAAAAATAATGAATAAACAAATCAAATTAAAAAATGAAAGATGATCTTAATCACTGGCATATGTTGCTGTGTAACATGTGAACAAAAATAATGAATAAGCAAATCAAATTAAAAAATGAAAGAGAATCTTGATCAGTGGCATATGTTGCTGAGTAACATGTGAGCAAAATTGATTTGTTGCCTAAGAATAAGGACTGAATGCGTTATATTACGTCAAAATATGCGAGGGCTATCTGTGTAAGAAGAAAAATGTCTTCATGAAGAACTTAAGGATATCAAGCATGTATTTATGTTATATATGGAAAAAAAACCACGTAATTTCCAAAGCAAGCAGCTCGTGCACCCGAATCTGAACTCGGATCGATCTATCCGTGTTTTTTGATTTTACTGCTCGGGGCGCTGGTGGGCTGCCTGGTAAGCTGGTAAGCTGAGAGTAATAATATGATTTACTTTCCAAAAGATCTATTTTGTAAGCGCACGTGGAGAAGTTCCATTCGTAAAGAAAATTAGTTTGAAAACAAATCATCTGCTTTCTTTAAAAATCAGTTCATAACAAATAAATAATAATAATAACTATCTACTTGTTACAAATACCAAATGAATGAATATATAAATACACACGTAAGTATTTTGACAAAACTATAAGGAAGATACCATCGCTGTCTCCTGTTCTTCAACAACAGCAATTTTCAACTAAAGATGTTTCAGTGATTAATGTGGTCTAGCAGCAGCATAACTGCTTCCCAAGCATATTCTATTGAATTCAAATCCAAGTTGTACGCTGGTCACTCGATAGACTCTATGGCTTATGTAGGCGCATTAGATAAGGCTAGCTTTTTTTATGCATATTTTGCACCATCATCAATACAAATCACGGCGAAGGGCTTTAAAAGTTTTATCTCTATACCTTGGAGAGTATAGACTCATTCTGAGTGACGTACAGGTTAACAAGACTGACAAAGGTTATTTGTAACTAAACAAGCACTCTATCTTCAGTAAAACGTGATCTTTTCTTTTCTTTTGACATTCTCTAAATTGTATAGGGTGCGACCTTTCCCTGTCCAGTCGTCAATCATCCGGCTCTAAACTGACTAAATGGTTTTCAATAAAGAACGCAACTTTTGAGTGCATTATAACTTACAAATTTATTGACGAAATTAAGGAATTTACATATTTTGGCAGACAATAAACGTTGTATTAGATCTCATTTCATTTCTCTGCCAGAATGCAAATTTTCAGCATGTGCGAAATTCAAATTAGGCAGTAAGAAGGAAGTACGTAAAAGAAGGTTTTGGAGGACGAAATCAGAGCGTGTTCTGCCTGTTTGAAGGCCGACAACAAGCCAGAGTTTGCTTGCGCGATAGTTAAGCTGTGAAGCTGTTAAGCTATACTAAACTTCATCAATTTTAACTTTAACTTTTACTTTTTGATTTAAGCCAAGAGCAGTGGCTTCTGTAAGGACAAGTTGATGCCAACTGTTAAAATTTATTTGAGTTAACAAAGGGTTCTCTACACCCTTCTCTTGATTTTGTAGTACTTTGAAAGACTTAGTGATAATTCACTAAACAGTCTTTTAAACGTCGCTTACATTTTATGATAGTAAGGAATACAGGACGTTGTTACATCACACATCATAAATTTGTCTAAGAACGGAGAACTCGCAAATAGGGTATAATTAAATATTTTCTCCCATTTTATCGTTTGAAAGGCCTTATTATAATAGTAATTGTCTATGACTTTTCACCTATTAACTATTTATTAACTTCCGTTGTCAAACAGCGAATTCTTTCATCACATTAAAAATTGTAGTCAATATTAGAGAGTGTTAATGGAAAATTAGTTAAATCGTCATCAAAAGCAAAAATTGAATTAAAAAATGAAATTTTAATGGGAAATATTAATTTTTATCTTTTTCTCGAGCTTGTAGGGTTTTCCTTATTTTGCATAAATTTATTTTAAATTTGATACCTGTTCTAGACTTCTCAACTTCCCCTCACATTCTCTCGCCAGGATGTAAATTTAAAGTTACGTGAAGTGCTATTTAAATGTGTGAATATATCAGTTTATTCAAAGTGTGTTTCACTAGCCAAGCGCATGTTTCGTTGTTATGTCGCGGTCACGCTAGTAAGCCTCTTGGCCTTATCAGATTAGCATCACGCCAGTTAGATTTCTAAGAGTCCACCTCTTAGGCGTAAACTTAAATGCGCTCTTGCACTATTTATTTCATGTTTGACTTGTATTATATTCTACGTTTTAGTTTCCACTGCAAGTGGACGTTGTCTTTGTAACACACGAAGTCCGTGCCTTTCTGTTAATTAGTTTGAGTTAATAAAGGGTTATTTTCACCCTTCTTCTGTGCTGGTATTTAACTCACGCTTGTGCGAGAATTCTCCAGGTTCATTGTAGGGTCTAATTTAGTTTATGTGGAATAACAGAAACAGATCTTACACACTTTTGATAAACTGAATGGATATCTTATAATTTTATATAATTAAAAAATAGCTAACAATGTGAATGTTCTTACAGGCGCTGGAACAGGAAGTATTTTAGGAGGCATAGGATTCGATAAATTCGGAAGTCGTAACACTTTCCTTTATGCAGCCGTTGCCAGTTTTATTTTACTTCTGCTGAACCTTTTCGCTCATTTATTGTTACTAAGAACTGAAAAATACAAAGAACCAGAAAGACCAATGGATATTTATGGTAAGTTTTGATCTTTCTAGAGTTTCTCCTATTAGAATCGACAATCAACAAATTATGTTTAAAAATTAATAATAATTACTAAAAAGTGCTATTAAGCAAGAGGAGTACTTTCAATTACTTTTAGAAAGCAATTTTAAATTCTTATTTAACACATTTCAGAGCCTTAGTTTTGATATTTCGTCCAGATTGCTTCTCCTAAAACAGTTGCACCACAAATATTTAAAAAAATGTACTGTTTGATCTAACTTTTTTATATTGGAAATATTATTCGGGTACAAAAATATTTTATATAGCTTGTAAATATTTCAGTATCTTACATCAGCACTTAAATTCACCTACAGCCCACCAAAGCACGACTACGATACTTTCAGTTTTTAAGAGAAATCATAATTCCAGCAATTAGAAGATATCAGAGTCCCAAATGAGATAATTTCCAGCATATGAAATTGAGTTAATAAGTTATGTCATTACTCTGTACTTGCTTCAACACTTCAGTAAGACTGAGTTTAATACTCACTGTATTAAATGAATATTTATTTTATTTTGCCAGAATAGAATAGAAGTCCGTTTTACATGTATCAAAAATCTCAATATCGGTTGATGCACTCAGAAAGAGAAATTATATTCTCTTTCTGAGTCTGAATTTATTTGTACAAATTTGTATAGCAAACAAAACAAGATGCTAGCATATGAAAAGCAAGGTTTTTAGTCTGTCCAGAGACCTGAAAAGACTGTTATTTAGAAATGGTAAAGCACACAAAGGCTTGGCCTAAAAGGTGGAATGCCTTCATGGAGGAATTTCATATTCATGCAACACATCGCGAAAATCATTGGAAACCAACTATGCAGTCACCGTTCGCCTGGGCTCGAACCAAGGTTAGACTACCAGTAATCAGCACTTGGTGTTAACTACTCGACTGAGGGGCTGGAAACTTGATAAGTTATCTGCATGCTAAAATACTGATACTGATACTAGAAAACAGTATGGAAAATATGATTTCTGATTGAAAGTTGCTAGAAAATCTAAATTGAAGAAAACGTTTGACAAAATTTCGGTTAAGATTCAACTGACGGGAAACTTGATATCAATGATTATGCATTTAAACTTAACTTGTAATATGTCACGTTTCTTTAATAAAATTCATAAAGTTTTTTTCTTTTCTAGATATCGATTTTAATAAATATTTAAATAAAAATTATTTAACGCAATTTTACATGCTGTTCAGAATGTTATGCGATTCAAAATACTTTTTTTTATCCTTGGTATTACATCTTATTATCTGAAATATATTTTCTTTTCAGTCATTTTATTATTTCTTGACATAATTTTATGATGTATTAATTGTTACTTATTTTGTTATTTTTATTCATCGTTAATTTAATTTGTTGCTATTTATTTCTGCACGGCAATACCTTACTTAATTATATTTATTTATTACTTAACGTTTTATTTATCATTATATACTTTGCTTGATAGCCATTTTTGGGCTTCAGAACTTTTAGAAATTAATCCCTGCTTTACATATATTAAATATTCATAGTTTTGTCATTATACATTATTGGAGAATATTTTGAGTACTTGATGATTTGTTTAATACCAGTATTTAAATTTCTTTCCAGAGAAAATCGAGAAAGCAGAGAAAACAGCAAACAGAATAGCTTTTATACAACCATGACGGGAAGCAAGTCTGCATAATCTTAAGTGCCATAATATGGCCAAATTCATCATTTTTGCAAGAGTTTTCAAAGGACTTTCGATTTACAATTATGTGTTATTAAATATTTTAAAATAAATAATTTTATATAATCTTTTTTATAAGAATTTACACTTTATGATTGTATTGTAAGCAGTATATATATATATATATATATATCAAATGTGGTATGATCTTAAATGCATTTACTACTACTTGCGCAATTGCTGCAAAGTAAGTTAACAATAATTTATTTCCTAAACAATATTGATTAATTGATTGCACTATTTGTATAGAAAACAAAATAAAAACGACGCGATTTTTAATGACAGAAAGATACATGGACTTACTTAGCTAATTAACAGATACAAGAAAATCCCTTGAAGACTTAATGTTGACGTATTTTATTAATATTAAACTGTTGGAAAATGTCTGGCCACTTAACAAAAATTGTATTAACTGAAAAGTCCTCGAAATTTCTGCTGTCGGTATTTACAATAGTAGTATAGATTTTTCTCATCTCCTTAAATCTGAGTTCTGATGTGCCTTTGCAGTATGTCCAGTTTTAATGTTGCGAGTCGAGTAATTTTCATTAATAACGCATTAACTGAGGATACTGAGAGTAAATGTAACACAATGCACTTATTGACGCTCTTTTGTTTTGATAATTCAATCTTAAAATTCGGTCCCTGTCTGAAGGACCTTCAACCAACATCCCCTGATAGAAAACCCCGTTTTCTCACGGATTTTGCTTCAGCAGTGGATTACTATCGATTGTAGTAGCTTTCTAGCAGAAATGTTCCAACTGTGCGTAAGCTTGGGAAGAACTATTTAATATATAGCCCACACATGCACGTAAATGGCATAATAAGCTTCGACTAAGGGTAATGCACGATTTGATCAAAAATGTTAATTAATAGCTAAATGTTAATTAGCTGAGTAAGTCCATGTATCTTTCAGTCATTAAAAGAACCTGTCATATATCAGTGTCATCTGCTTCCACTTCTCTATTTTACCGCTGCACAAATGTCCATTTAAATTCCTTAGTATCAAAATAAAACAAATCGTGCCTTTAAACAGCATGAAGTGCAAGCGTTAAGCGTACAAAAAGAGTGAAGGAAAACAGCCACACTTGCGCAAGGAAACGAGGACTTCTCCTGTGCGTATACAGATATTATGAATCAAAAGGCGTAATGCGTAATAAGCTGTTCTTCCAACTGGTCAAGTGGCATAGTCAGAAATCACAACATCTCACTTAAAAATTTATTAATATGCAGCGACATTATCTTAGTCGATTATTACACGAAAACCCATGGTCGCATTTAACTCGAACACCTCATCAGAAGTTACAAGGACTTGGTGAAACGTTTTGCTCGACATTATCGCTAATAAAAACTCATCTTTTTATTATCGTAAAACATTCACGAAACTTCGTTCTACAAAGCAAAGTTGAATGAAAAAGTTAAAGATTTCATAACTTTTAAGTCTGCTGCGTTCCAGAAGGTAATATCTTAAATGTGTCTGAGCTTTGGTGGAACGCGATCGATGAAGATGGTTCTTACTTTTTTATATGGTTTTTGGATACTATTCATTTGAAGATTGTTGAAAATAGAAATTTGCATTTCTCCCGTTCGCGATTGCGCTGAGCAGAAAAGCGAACTATATAGTCGTGCGGATAGTTCCTCCCGGCGAAGTCGGAGAAAGAAGACGGAGACGGAGAAAGAATAAGTCTGTCTTCTAGATTCTGATGGTGCTGAAGTCTGACCTCCGTGCTACGTCTATCTGATGATGTTTGCCGACGTAGCCAGCAGCTGTGATTCTCTCAAGCGTGGCCCAGAGGCAAGGAGTCCTAATAAGGAACAGCGCAGTGGAAATACTAAAAATCTACATAAGCATTCTAGATTATTTATCTACATCGCCAAATAGCTGCCTATATGAAAAGAACTGTTAAGCAGGATCAAGTCACATTGTACCAATCTATTACATTCGTACGCTATCCATCGTATAAAAGTTCATTAATGAGTCAAAATCTGATACGTATGTTCTTCTTTGTTGCTAAATCTTAAGGATAGAAAGTCACTGATTAAATCTTATATTTAATTTTTCAACTTGGTGCAGTTTATACTTCTGTAGCGAAGACCCTCGATTCTACACCCACCACTACGCATAACTCTAAAGGTTCTTCAAAGAACACAAATCTTCAAATACAATAAAGATAAATTTAACTAGATAAATTGTTCTTTTTTAAAATCTTCAGTTGTATTTCTCTTTTTGCAGTATTTTATTTTTAGTCATTTATTTTGCGGTTTCATAAATTATATATCCTTTCACTATTATAAAGGCTTTGCTTGGTGTTTTTGAATTTTCTGTGCATATTCTGTACCTATAATTCCTCAATATGCATAATTTTTCTACTTTACTTTGTTGCTTAATTTCATTGGAAGTAAATACACGAAGACAATAAACTTTAACAGAAAGAAATTTTATTCACACAAAATATAAAGAAAATGGGTTATATTTAATCATATATAAGCATTTACTTCATTTTCCAGTTGAGATTAGTTTTCTCCACTTCATTGATATAGATAAAGAAAGAAAGAAAGAAAGAAAGAAAACGAATGAAAACTGCATCAACAGAGGGTTTTCATAACTATTTGTAGTAAAGATGGCACTTAAAGAATTTCAAATAATCAGTCTTTTAAATTTAAATCCGTAGTGAACACAAACAGTCAGAACTGAAAAAATGAACACATAACGGCATTAGTACAACAGGGTCAGTCTGAACTCGGCTTGGACCTTTCGTTTCAGCCTGTATCGATAAAAGAAAGGGCCAAAACTAAACCAGTCTGGGGATAACTGTTGAATCTCAAAGAAGATTTAATTAAGACAGCAATAGTGAAGAAAAACCACTAAAATAACTGCTATCCTCAAGAATGCATTTATTGAGAAAAAGAACAATAAAATGCCCATTTACCGTATTTGCCGGTGTATAAGACAGCACTTTTTTTCTTTGAAGATAGGTCTGAAAAACGGGGTGCGTCTCAACGTCGATACTTAGTTTTTGGTTACACACATATCTGGAAATTTCCTGTAGTCGGAGTTATACGATTTTTTTTCTTGTTTGCTTGCAGAGTGTGGGAATATTAAAGTTACGTAGAGTTCAGTGAATGCGCATGCGCTGTTATCGATGATCACTGTTGGGTTCGTTTAAACTTTTCAATTTTTGTGAACGACTTTTAAGTGTGTAAAATTTCTACTTATGGCTCAAAGACAACGTAGGCATTGCTGTAACATAGCATACAAACTACGTATGATTGCGTATATTAAAGAATATGGAAATATGGTGGCGTCAGGAAGAGTATCTAAAAAATGCAACTCATAGATTGAGTATTTGCAGAAAATATTACTTTGTATTTGTATTGTTTTATATTTGAAATATTGTAAATTCATAATAATGATCAGTAATAAAGTCTTATTCTTCCAAAATATGTATAAAAAGGGGTGCGTCTTATAGAGCCGGTCCGTCTTATACGCTGGCATATACGGTAATTCAGAAAGGAATTTTTCGATTACAGACAGTTTCTGTCAATTTCTTCAAGATAATAACCATTGCCATAGCCTAATCTTCAACGTTCAGACTTTAATAATTCCCAATTTCATTTTAATTTCAGTTCCTAATTAAAAAAAATAATATTAAACTTCTTTTCAAATTATAACCAATATTTCAAAATATAAGATTATACATAATATGGCAAAACTTAATACGAAAATGTTTTAATGAAGAACAAAAATTCTTTGTTACCGATTTAAAAGAATTATATTTTATAAACCAAAATACATTTTTGCGAAACGAAATTATTTCTATTTGTGTTCTACACCTCTGTGTGAAAGATATTAAAAAATGTACTTTATATAATATTCTCCAGATAGACATAATTTATTTAAATTTTTAAATACTTGAAAGTCAAATAAATAAAATAGAAATATCAAAAACGAATATTATACAAATATACTTAAAAAACCTTACACATTTAAATATGATTAAAGGCTTTTGTAAGAAGCGTGACTAATTAATAATCAGTAAAAGCAATAATATGTGAAGCAAAATATTAGTATGAACAAACAGCGAAATATATTAAGGTCCATAACTACATCTAAAAATGCTCTAATCTGTAGACGAAATATCAATACTAATAGCTTGTGAAGCGTAGGTTGTATGATATCAGAATGAAATTATTTGCTAGGCTTCCTCTAGTTTACTTTCAACATGGTTTATAGGGTGTGCATCTAAAAAAAGGAGAAAAGAGAAATATTTTATTTATAACAGAAAATAATCATACTATTTACTACATAAACAAATACCCTTACTTAGTATTAAAAAGAAGATGTTTTCTGTTTGAATACATTTGTTTTAATATAATACTTTACAATAATATCTGTTTGATTATGTGCATTATTTATTTAAATTTATGAATGATATTGAAATGTACCCAATAAAGAAATTTCACGCTCTAAGAGGTTCATAAGGCTGCAGATTGATTTACGTATTTAAGGCTACAGGCAATTATTGCATAATTAATTTTTTTGCCCTTCTTTTAAAAATGCTAAGAAACATTTCTTGAAACTGCTTTTATCATTACTTTTTTTATTTGATTGGATTATGGCGATGTACAGAATGGTATCCTCCAAGGAAGGGATGCTCCGTGGATGATTTATAAGGGAAATTGGCTCGTATCCATTTTACATGTTGGGAAAACCACGAAAATGACCATGCATCAGCCCATTCGCCGCGATTCGAACACTGTATCGAATTACTAGTGTCCAGCGACTTTACCGCACGGCCTCGGTGAGCCTGCTTTTAGCATTAGAGACAAATTTTAGATTCCACGACATATAAACAATCAAATCTTTTAGATTTATTGGCAAATAATATTCACTAATGAAATAACACATTTATCAAAGATTTTCATTACAAAATATGTATTTCTATGGTAAAAGTTTTAGAGAATGATAAAATAAATATAGGGACGCCAGCTCACGTAGAAGAGACTCGCACTGATTTCAGTTTTGCCTAATTAATTGCAATGCAGAGTAAACAAAAAGCCTAAAATGGTAATGAATTTAGATGTAATTTAATCAATAATTATGGCAAAAAATCAGTATCTCATATGGCCTATATGAGCATTTAAAAGGGAGATAAAGTGGTGAGAATCTGTGCCAATTAAATAGACAAATTTGATCTCGAGCGATTTGGAACTATGCGCTGTATTTCTATTAGAAGGTCGGTTGACATTAACGAGATTTTTAATTACGGTGTCATCTGATGGTATCAACGCATGTCGATAGGTAATAGACCTGTGAACTAAATGGCCAGCATAAAGAATCAGCATGACTAAAATATTGCAGAATATATCAAGAGAGTATTTAATAGTAAATTACCTTGAAGAAAACTGCTCTTTTCTATCCATATATCGCCAATTTGGACTTGATTAGCAATTAACTGCATACTTTCGGTTAAGGTGCTTATTTAAACTTAATGACTATGACTCGAAATTTAAATTTAGATTCATTATCACTGCAAACAAGTCAGATACCTAAATGCATTAACTTGTAAGAAGATGTGTAGCTATGCAAAATAACTATCTTAGACATGTAACTGTTATTACAGAAACAATTTTCAATACTTTTCCAATAAGACTGCATCTGATGGGAAAACAATATACAGAATTTCATTACTGATTCAGAAGTCAAACAACAAAAATCAGCGTTAATTCACAAAAATTTGTGAATTAACGCTGATTTTTGTTGTTTGACTTCTGAATCAGTATTTTTTCGGCGTGTTATTGTGTCTTAATTATAGAAGCCCCAAACAGGCTTACATTTTAGAATTTCATTAGTTGAGATGAAAGGCCATATTATGGCATTTTGTCTCTTGTAATACAGTTAAAAACTAATATTATCATTATTAAATTGAAGCAAATTACATAACCATCAATTGCAATATAAAAAATATGCTATAAAACTGTGTGCGTTAGTAAAGAGAGAAACTTCATGTATTATTAAGCCTTTATTTAATGCACTAGTTTAATTTCTTATAATTAGCAAATATCCATTTACATTTAGCTTACTGTAGAACAAAAAATTCCTGGGAATTACACTGCTCACCATTAAAATTGCAACACAAGGAAGGAAGGATCTGACAACCGTCAAAATCACATGAAAGGAAGAAGTTGGAATTTCAGTGCAGTTGGGATGATTAGTATTTCAGTGCATTTAGACAACTCAGGAAGGAGAAGCGGCATCTGAAGTACTGCATAAAAGAAAAGTTGTGTAGTGAATTTCTCAATTGGAAAGTGCTTTGTAAGGTTGGAGTTTACTCAGGATTATCGTCTTATGCCTCGAATAAGAAGATGAAATGCTTACAAGCAAGTTTCGAAATTATATAGAAGCAGGATTGTTGCCTATCGAAAGTGTAGATTATCGTTCCATGATATCGCCGGTCGCACTGGTCGACATCCAAACCACTGTCATGCGAATATGGAATCAATGAATTGCAGAAGGTGATACTGAACAGCATTAAGGATCTCAACGCTCTTCCACAACTAATGCCAGAGAGGACAGACATATTATGAGGTCAGCCCTGCAAAACCGTACTACCACATTACGGACCATTAGTCAGGAAATGAGCATGTTTGCAGCACTCCTAGTATCAGCTCCTAAGATGCATCGACGTTTGCAGCAGCGTGAACTATCAGCAGGGTGACCATTACGTCAGCTTCCCTTGACAATGCGAAGAAACCATTACACAGAGAGAGATGGTGACTCTGGTGCGCCAAACGACAAAGCTGGGTAGAGGAGTGGCACAATATCGCCTTTTCAAACGAGTCTCGGTTCTACGTGCAGCATTCTGATGGCAGTATACGTGTCTTGAGTGTCCAAGGAGACTGCACGTCGCCTGCTCATATTCGATATCGGCATAGTGGCGCTGCATTTGGTGTGATGGTTTGGGCAGCCGTTGGGTACACGAAACGCACATCTCTAGTTCGGATCGGCAGTAATTTGAACGGGGTACATTTCTGACATCTAGCGTCCAGTGATTGTGCACCATCTTCGAGGCCCCCAAACGCCATGTTAGAGCAAGATAATGCAAAATCACGTATTGCACGTCGTATTCTGACTTTCCTCGATACACATGGTATTCGATTGATGCCCTGGCTTGCACGGTCTCCAGATCTGTCACCCATAGAAAACATCTGGTCATGGGTTGGTGAGAGACTGGTCCACAACCCCTCTCCAGCTAATACGGTTGATGAAATATGGCATAAACTTGAAGCAGCATGGAATGTGTTGCACATTTCTGACATCCAAGCCCAGTTTGACTCCATGTCTAATGGTTTAAGGTCCGTTTTAGCTGCCAGGAGTAGTAGCTGTTTCTACTAATTTCGCACCCTTGTAAACCTCCAAAATGCTTATAAATTTAATCATCTTGTCTTCATGCCATACTGTTTACATGCAATAAATATATTTTTTGTATTTGCTTTCCTTCACGGTTTTCCAATTTTAATAGCCGCAGTGTACTTCAAGATGTACATTAGAATTTGTAATTCCCCGCCCCCCTTAGGTAATATATTTCTAATGTAAAATGCAGGATCGTAACAAATAGAGCAGGACGTAATTAAATGGAGACATATTTATTTACCTGAATCTATATTTTTTAAGTTCATAATAAAATGTGCACCCCAGTGTAATAGTCCAGAAAACGTGAAAAATATTCCTGCCCAAAAGAATGTCTTTCGTCCACCTAAAATACTGAAACCAAAGCCACCTAATAAGCTTCCTGTCGCAACACCTGAAAAAATTTTATCACATAAATATCATAAAAGAATTTTTTAAAAACAAAGGAGGGTTGTATATGGCAGTGAAATAGGTATACAGTCAGTGATGATTAACATGGATACTATTTAACTTTAAAATGTATTTTTCTGGAAACATATAAATCTAATCTTGAAAAATACATCTCAGTTGGGCAGGTAAATAGAGTTTCTTTCTCTTATTTCTGATATTGTGCCTTAATGTAGAATTATGAATTTGAAAAAAATGCCATATTGTAGAATTATCTCATTTAGACTATTTGACAAGTTCGATGACTATAAAATGTAATATTTAATGATGAAATTTGCATGATTACAAGGATTTCAAAATTAATCAAAATTTAATTTCTAGAAATATTTTCTAATACAAATTTACTAGGAAGAAGTTTTGAACTTTTCATACACTGTTACATTACCGTCTTGTACTGGTTGTTTCAGTTGGACGTCACGCAGAAATATATTACTTCTACCACAGTGAAGGAAGAAGGTTCCACTCAACTTCTAATTGACTAAGCGGCTCGTAACATCAGCTTAGAAGCATGTTCTGCTTCTCCGAAAAACATACTAGGGAATCTATCTTTCAAAGTAAGGCGAAAGAACTCTTATTTAACTTAACAGATTAGCTTACTTGAATAGGCTACTACCAAGATTGTCTGTCCATCAGGAAGAATTCTTTCGAAAAGAAAGTTTTTAAAGAAAACAAACTCGTATTTATTTTACTCGTGGAGGAGGGGGTAGAAATATTAATGCAGCCAGCATGCTCCCCGTCATTTGAAAAACGATCGAATTATTTTGTTATTGAAAAGGCGCTTGATTATACATAATTGGTCCTCCCGTGCATCAAAGATGCATGAGATTGGAGCATGAAAAAAGTATAAAAATAGAAATGCAAAATCACAAAATAGTAATAAACCGCATTACAATAACAATAACTACATAAAAACTGCGAAATGAAACAAATGATTACATTAAGCATTAATAATAATAATAATAAATTAGTCTCTGGATGTCAGCTGTATGAACTCTCTAGCTCGCCAATATCGACTGCATAAGTTTTCTTCCCTCAACGAGGAACATTTTAGAAAATGATCTCTGTCCATCTCAAAATTCTGGTTGCACAAAGTACACAAGGGACTGTCATAAATACCAATGCGGTGCAGATGTTTAGCAAGACAATCATGTCAGGTCTGCAAACAAGACGCCGCAACTGAAACTCACAACACATAACTCAGAAAGATCATTTATCTAGACATTGAGAATTATTGAACTCAAGACTCAAGCTTACGAAGTCCAAGTTTGAGCTACCTGTATCTGAAGGACTCATATTCGTAAAAAAACAAATAAAGTCTCTGGCCAAAAATGATGATGATTAAAGATGCAGCAACTTCTTAACAATCTTCATTTTTCACAATTCATTATATGGAGATTTTAAATATATCGAAGTATCTAAAACTGAAATGTTGGCTACCTAATTCATATTTGATTCACTCACTATATGCTTGATGGATTGTGAAATGCAAAGCCTGAACGTAATGTGATGTGCAGATAACAAGTTACTTCTTTCAGTATACTATTTATCCTGATAAGACCATTCAGTCTATTGTTTTGGCTTTAAAAATTTCAATTTTCCCATATCGGATGAAAGCTTTGAAGAGTATCAGCTATTTTTCTTTTTTAAATACTAGTACCATCACTGCTTTATTCCAGAAGACAGGAATACTAGTACCATCACTGCTTTATTCCAGAAGACAGGAACAGTGGTATTTAAATTAGAGTTAAAGGTGTTTAAGAATACGAGGAGCACAATAGTTCACAACATCTCAAGTTCTTCAAAAAATGTGAGTAAATCAGCTCAAGAATAGGACATTCATAGTTCTTCAAGTTCCGCAAGGCATTATTAAGTTCTGTTATTGTAATCTCAGAAACAAAAATCTGTCTGCGTCACGTGAACATAAGCTACTCTCTTCCTTTAAAAATCCTGATTACGATGAAGTAATCTCTCAAGGCTTCGATTAACGAGAAATGAAAAATGTGACGTATATTTTGTCACTGTTTAACCAGTTTTCCCTTGATCTTCATTGGTGCCTCTGGCAGCCAATTTATTTAACAACAGGTTTAAAGATTTGTTCGCCATCCGTTATGTAAATAATCTTTTTAATAAATACCTCAAAACAATTATGCTTTTAGTATATATATTTTTTTTGCAGGACTGTCACACATTTTCAACTATTCCTATTATCTTCAGGCCCTTTGACTTTTCGATGAACAATAGGATCTTTTCATTCCTTTAGGAATCGTGCCTAATCGGTCAAAATTGTATCTGTTTATCTCTGGAAATCTATTTCTTGGCAGCCCTGTGAAGATCTCAAACAAAATTCAGACTATGCCAAAAGAAGTATCGGTGCTTTTATTGAGCTGATATTGATTTTATTTGCTTGATATTGAATATTACGAAAATTATACACTAGTTCCTTAGCGTACTGTCTTCAGTTTGCGTTTTTGAAATTTCATCTTAGTCTATAATTTAGATTTACTTTCTAAAGATGATCTAACCTTCGAAATAATGTGAATTATTATGGACTGGCCTGAGCCCTCCAAAAATTTCTCTTTTGATCTTTCGAGAAATATTTTCGACCATGACAAGATCAAGTTTAGCTGAACTGTAAGTGCGTTAAGATGTCTAATAGATATTTGATCACGTTCATTTTTCAGATAATTATTACATCTTTAAAGATATGCACAAATCTGAATTTACGGTATATATTATATACAGTTTGTCGAAAGCTTTACTAACTCGAAATTTTTTTTGCTCCCTTCAACTTCTTATCGATTGCATAGTTCATTCATCTTTGTTGCATAATTCATTTCAGGAAATAACTCGCAGCTTTGTAAGATGCTGGAAAATCATAATTTCTTATCTGGGTCAAAATAAGTCAACAGCGGAAGGGAGTAGGAAGCAAAATTTTGATTAATGAAAGAACTCGACCATCTTGAAACGTTCAGATTAATTTGGAAACACACTTTCACTTTCTTTATAAAGCCTTATCCACATTCAGTTTACTTAATTACAAATCTAAATGGTGTCACGCTGTTCCGCGATGCCTTTGACGAACTCCACAGCTTTTAAAGTTTTGAGTATGCTCATCAATATAACTAGTCCCGCAACTTTAAAAATAGTTCAAGGCTTTCTATTCTGTGGAAGGCAGGTCAAAATTCTAAATTTTTTTTCAAAACGAAAGAAGCAAACAGAGAAATAGCAGTTATAACTTCCAAACAGAACCTAACCAAGCTTAGTGATGCTCAGAGTTACATAACGCCAGAATGAAGTTCTTATGTGTGCGTTGTGACGTTACATGCATTCATTATGGTAATAAACTGCATTGTTTGGTGATGATGTAGAAAACTATTGACGGCAAAATACATAAAAATTAAGTGCCAAGTTTCTTTACGGCCATAACGAATCATGAGCTTTTTTGTGAGAAAACAGTTTTGAATATCTAAGATTAGTAGAAACAAGTAGATGCAAATGAGATGAAAAGCTGCATTAAGTAAACATACATTTCGCAATAAACTAAAAAATAACATTGGAAAAAAAGTAGAAAAATTAATTTGTTCGTGATATTCTGCATCAGATTACAATTATATAATTTTGGTAGCAGAATGATATTTCATCATTTGTTTATTTTACGCACATGTTAATTTTGTAAATATGTGCATAAAAGTTTTTTTTAAAAAAAAGAAATAGTTTTAGGTTAAGACTTAGAACTCATGGTTCGGTTAATAATTATAATGCAAGTTAAGGCTTAAGGTGCTCTCAGGGCCGGGTAGCGCTTGCAAATTTGAAAGAGTTGTAATTCTTCAGATCTCTACATGAGAGCCCTTTTGTGATAATTGGTAGAGCATTGCACTCCCATGATACACTCAAGTTCTGTCTTCAACGCTCAAAGCGCGACTCTCGCATCCCCTTTAAAATTCAGCTTATACGTGAGTGTAGAAAGTATTCATACAGTAAGTGTTATGATCTAAAAATGCCCCGTTGATAAAAACTATAAACTGAAATTTGAAAATAAGTACTTAAATATGTATAATGTAATTTACATTAATATTTTCATGTGAAATTTACATGAAAATAAATGCATGCATAAATAAAAAAATTACAAAACAAGAACAATCCATCATCCTGTGTTATAAAAAGTATTCGTACATTATAGATAACATTGAATATTTTCATAAATGTATTTAAACTAACACCTTATTGAATATCCTTTAGCCGTTTAGCGAGTATAACTGCTCCGAGTCGCCATGTCATTGATTCAATAAAATTTGCTGTAACTGAGCTAGATAAGGACTCTGATTCTTGTTTAAGAGTAGTTATTAAGTCATTTTTAGTAGAAATGTGCCTGGTTATAACCGTTTGTATCGAAAGTTTCTCATAAATTCTCAATGGAATTTAAGTCGGGTGACTGAAGAGGAAAGTTCATAAACTTTGGGGTGTTATATAATAGCCACAGCGATGTATTTAGGGCTGTATACTTGGGGTCATTATCATGCATGAAAACATGTTCATTATCCTGTAGAGACATTACGTATTTTTTGGAAGCAGGCAAGATGAAAAATGAGTAATCGTCTTCGCCGGGAATCGAACCACGGACCTCTGGAATACCGGCCCAGCGTGCAGAACCACTACACCACTAATGCACGCTAGGAAGGCGGGAGAAATATCTTATAATCCAAACCCATTTTTATGGCATTAAACCATAAATTATTTTCCAAAATGTTAATGTGTAGTAGATGTTTCGTAATGCCATTAATGCAGACTAAATTACCGACCACGGAAGCCCGCGTACAACCCCAAACCAACATGTCTCCACCTCTATGTTTCATTTTTAACAATAAATTCCTTGGGTGTATTAGGGTATTCCGTTTCCTCAGCACCATTCGCCACCCCGTCTGAATCAAAAATATTGAATTTACTTTCATCTGAAAATACAAGTAATAATGTTCTTCCAGAAGGCTTTTATTTACGTATTTTTTGGGCGAAGGATAATCGTAACTTCCGATTGCTGTCACCAATAAAGAATTTTCGTCTCGCAACACGGCTATGGAAACCTTGTTTCCTACATATATTTCAAATTGCACGTACGGATAAAGTTTCTCAATTCTGCTGTAAGCTTAGGAGCACTTACTTTCAGATCTTTCTTCAAAGAACGTGCCAGAAATTCATGTGTCAAAGGATGTAAGTCTATATGATCGTCCTGAACGAGCACTGTTTTGTCCTGTTCTAGAGTTCATAAACGTTTGAATAATCGACTGCATAATTGAGCGTGGTCTGCCGACTAAAACTGAAATTCCATTGTACGATTTAAAGCCTCTATCAAGCTTTAAGATTAATTTTCTTTCGGAAACACTCTTTTCTTTACCATTACGATCTATATTAAAATTTTAAATTTCTTGTCACTTTTATACTTCGATATTTTGATACTTTTGTGTCATACTAGTCCAGAGCAGAAGATTTCTTATCCTGATCTTACCAGTTCCTTAATGAGCCCAAACGGGCCTGGCGGAGGTGAAAGACATCAGCGAAGTTTTCTACAGGGAAGGCTAAAATAGATGGAGCAAAGAGTGTGAAGCAACACCTAGAGCAATGAATTCTTAGAATGAGTAGAAAAGGAAATCTACGATTGATGGAAGTCAGTTTATGAGATTCCGCTTTCTGACTGATTGGCCTGGTCACGGAGGTCATAGTGCAAAACATGTGCAGCTAAAGGTCTGATTTTCTTATCCTCTGGTAAATATTTCGTAGGCTAGAACATTCGCAAATTTTGCAGGGTTATTACTCATGGTCCTGTTGTAAAACTTTTCATTCAGTCTATTGATGAAATCTTGTACTGTTTTCATTTTAAGGTTTAAGTGAAAACTTCTATGCCTGAAAAAGTAGGGAGCATTAGTGATGAAACGTAAAACCTTGTTTTGAAGAGTCTGAAGTCGTTTAATTTCGTTTTCACTGGCGTTCGCCCATGCGGGGAACGCGTAAGTAATAACCAGACGGATGATGGAAGTATACAGTCTCTTTTTCAAGTTGAGAGAAAGATGTTCGCTTTTTAGTAGTAAAAAAGGCCTGAATACAATGCCATTTGCTTTGCTATACACTCTGTACATACGTCACATTTAAAATTACCCCCGGGCATTTTATATGACCCGCAAGATAATGACGTTAGTTATCAACGAAAAGTTCACTAAACCAAATAGAAAATGCTACCAAAATTTTATATTTGTTTGAATGTACGAATACTTTTTACACGCCAATAAACCCAAAACTTTTAGTTTCCCATATTATTTAAAAGTTAGTTCAATATCTTTTTCGTATTGATTTTTGCAATTTTATTTGGTAAACTTTTGTTTTATTAGTTATTGCCTTTTGAAGAAGTTTCCATAAAATTAGCTCGACAAAACAATAGTTTCCTTCGACCACTCTTGTACGAATAATTTCTATAATGACTGTAGGTGTTGTATCGAGGAAACCTCAGCTAAAACACCAAAGCTTTGAACAACTGCGGGCCACAAATCAACCGCTTCGAGGTCGTCTCAAGCTTTTTGTAAAACATTATTTAAAATTTTTTTAAATAGAGGAAACTAACTTACCTATGCCTTCAAAGACTCCGCTCACTAAACCCTGCACCGTTGCTTCTGTTCCTTTGGGCGCAATTACTTTAGCGTAGGAAGTCATGGAAGCATAGAAACTACCAAAGCAAAGTCCTTGCAAAACTTCTATGAGAAGAGCTAACCAAGGATTTATTAAAAATGAATGGATAAGAAATTTTAATCCATAAGCAATAAAAGACATAAGAAAGGTATTCATGTGCCCTATTTTGTTAATTATCCACCCAGAAAAAAAGAAAAATGGTAATTCTCCCAAGAAGCACTGGACACCAGATACTAACCCTAAAATGAGTTGATTTGCATTTAAAGTTCGCAGGTACCAAAACAAATACGATCTTGTTAAACCTGTAGCAGCACCTAATAGAAATGAACTTATTATGAATACTACAATTCTGAGTCTCACAACCAATTGTCCGACATCTTTGCAGATATTCTTTGATGTCTGAACTGTTTTGAGATTCAGCTTATGAACAGCTGCCATATCCAAAGCAAAAAGAATGATGAGTATATAAAACCCAGCTGAATAATTGTAAAGCTTAGATGTTCCAGTGAATATTTGATTTAAATAGCCTGTCAAAGCTGCAATGAGGCCCCAACCAATCGTGCCCCACATACGTTGTTTGCCGTAGAGATGTGGTCGTGAATCGAGTGCATTATAGCATGCTGCATCAGATAAAGATACTATAGAACCATTAGCTATATAAATAGTAGCGACTAAAATGCTGAATATGCATAATTGCAAAGGCGAATTGCTTTCAATGATAGAATCACAATTTCGAAGCTCAGTATAACAGTTTTCAGAACACGGCCTGTTTTCTGGTAAACACTGTGTCAACAGTTCTTCTGTAGAATTTGTGGTGTTGTTAAACAAGAAATCACTGAAGACTTTTTTACTTCCTACTTTGATGAGATTTCTTTTCATTCCTGAACAGAATTCACTTTCAGGCTTACACAAAGTACAAGATAAACTACATTCATTTATTCTAGTCCATAAATCAATGCTACAATTATGACTTCGATAATTAATCAAATAAGAACTTTTTCCGTAACAGAACAGAGTAGTATTGGCCATGTTCATACTGATCTCTGGAGGACGAGGAATGAAATTTAAACCTAAATCTGCAATAACATCTGTAAGGATTAACAGTAAAAGCATAGGCTTCAGTTTCTGAAAGTGATCAACCAGTCCTCCGAAAAGGGGTTTAGAAAGTACTGTTATAAAACAAATAACAGCGTAGATAATTCCTACGGCGCTGGCTGTTATTCCCAGTTGTTTCGCATAGACAGGAAGGTAAGGAAGAACTCCAGCATGTGCTATTGGAAAAAAATAAAAAGCAAATATTTATATACTTATGCAGTCTTTAAAAAAATTTGCTTGTTACTAAGCATATGATAATAATAATAATAATAATATTTAAATTAAGTTTCATATGTATATATGGTAAAGTGATTTAATATTAACAGTTACTACTTTTGCAGGGAAAGAGGAAATAACCAAAACTACTGTTAAAAACTATAATTTGCAGTAGTTAATATCCCATCTATTTTTATCTCTCTCACGCAAGAGTATACACAAATTTATTACGGTTCCTATTTCATAAAATTTATAAAACTTCTTTAAGATTGAATAAATAAATATAGAGGAAGTTCTTTACAATAGCTTGCCTTATAGTTTAGGGTATTTGAATTATATCAAAGTATACGCGGGTTGTTTACCTAAAGGGGGATATCTTTGTGGAAGATGTTTTAAGGAATGGAAATACGAGCTGGAAAAACCACACAAATTCGCACACGGCTACATTGTTCGTCCGTATCTGATCCCGGAAGTATTACCAATGTTCAGCGATCTTACCATTGTAAAGATGATAGACTATTGGCTTAATAAATAAAGCGAGCCTCCATTGATTCGGCCAGTAAATTTGCAGAGAGGAAGGTAGGTTTAGGAAAATAAACCATGCCCTAGCCGTATACTTCAGGCTTTAGAATGTTGAACCAATATATTGTCCGTTGATATATATCAACGCAAAGCACATATGATTTATCATTTGTCAGCTTTTTAACGAAATACAAAGTAGCGCCACCTTGAAACACCTTAGTCTTTCAAACGCGGCATTGTGGCAGAATATAAGATTTCCTATTATTCAATAAATTTTGACATCAGTTTTTAGACATGGATTTTTTAGTTTAAATGGTGCCGAAAAGGAAAGCCTAAATTTAAGACCTTTATATCGACATAAATGCAATTAACTTTAATGCGGGACAGCTAATCTGCTCGGATCAGGTTAAGATGACCTATTGCAGTACTTACTATATCAGATTTTACTGAAAATAAAAGGTTTTCTTTTTGGTAGGGACTATTACCTAAAACTGTTATCTCATTATTGTTAAGCAAACTTCAAAGACATCCTACTGTGTCAAATGTTAGCATTGATACGTCGTTAGTAAATCGGAAACTGTCCATTGGCACTCAGAAGCTTCTGAGTATGTAATGTTTTCATGAATACATTTTTTTGGTAATTGATTATCTCAAGGACACTGGGACATTTTTTGTCATTATAAATGCAAACTATCTGGAAAATAATATTGCATTCGAATTTTGTTGTCTATCCACGTTAAGGAGATGAAGTCATTTTTTAACTGTTCGAGAATTCCTATCTGACCTCGCAATAGACACTAGCACAGAGTAGAGAGCGCCACTGCCTACCGAAATCTGCAGCTGGTCCCTACGCCATGTGTTGTGCTTCCCTTGTCAAGTAATATATAGTACTGCATTATCACGTAAGGTGGTGTCGCCTGCATCGTCAGTGAAACTTAAAATATGCGTTGCGAGTTATCTTTACATGCGGTCCAAAATTCAGTTTAGACTCTGGTATTGAAAGCATTTTTATCTGAAAAAAATTTGAAATATTCAGCTTTTAATGCAATGCCTGTGAAAAACCCAGTGTACATGGCAATAGTTTCCTTGTCTGAGGAGGAAACATGAGAAATGGTATTACTGATTTATATAATTAGAACAAAGATTCTATACCTAGCCTTGGCCTAGATGCTACACCTTTAAGTAAGCTTTTTACTGGTTAGTAGCTGCCTGAACTTCTCTTAATTGAGTATTTCGGGTTCATCGATCCTCTTTGTTATGTGAATATTTCATATGTAAAGGTATTATTCGATTTGATTGACTGTGTGATTTATTCTCATGAGCATATCTTGAATATCTTCATTGACGAGTTCCAACAAGTCGCCCTTTCCTTGGGGCCTCCAAAAAGCTCAGTATGTCCGTTCTAGGAAAGTAGTTGTAAATCCTATATTAGAATTAAATTTATGACTGATTCCTTTGTGAGGCATTATGGTAACATCATGTCATGATGGCACACCATACTATTTTTTCTATCCAGGGTATTATTGAAGGTAATTCTGGTGCATCATTTTAATGTGCGGCACTGCGTCTCTGTTCAAGGTTTGATTAAAAACAGAAAGTCACTTTTTATATTTTAGAATTAATACTGAACGTTTTAAGTTGCTTTTAATTCCTACATTAACATATACAATATTACAATTTAATTTTTGTGATATGAGTAAACTTTCACTGCTGAATTTCAAGTTGTATAGCTATAATAAGCAACTTGTTTCATGATTTCTTGATATTTATTGCAAACATAATCACTTCTTAGAATGTACATACACGAAAACCATATGTCTCATTGTGCATAATCTTCTTTCACTGGCCTACCAGCGACCGAGCGGTAAAGTCGCTGAACGCTGGTAGTTCGGTCCGAGGTTCGAATCCCGCGAACGGGCTGGCTGCATGGGTGTTTTCGTGGTTTTCCCCATGTGTAACGTGTATACGAGCCAGTTTCCCTTAGAAAGTCCTCCACGAAAGGCATCCCTCCTCTTAGGCAGATAACCCTAGTGTACTTTGCCATAATTAAATACACACACACACACACTTCTTTCACTGTGTCACTTTAGTGTAAGATTAATTTTGAAGTTCAACAAATTTATCAAAATTTGCAATGATACAATGACATAATCAAAATTAAATCTAGTCTATAATATTTTAATTAATAAGTAAAAGTAATTCTACTTCAGAAGTATCTTTTAAAATTCCAGAATTTTTAATTACTTACAAATCTGGATTTCGATAGCTAAAGAAATGACCAAAATTGAAACGTAAAATGAGATTTATAATCATAAATACTTTTTTAAATACCTCAGGAATACTTTTTAAAATAAAAGCTTAAACAAAATTTTTCTGTTCAAGTAAACTTGTTATTTAAAAAGACGTTTCATTATGGAAATGCCATTTTTTCTTCACTAAAAAAACGTATTTAAACGTAAAGGATTATTTTTAGCCCAGATGAGCGTTAGCCCAGTAAGGCTATTAGTCTCAAAACGGCATTTTGCGTCGAATCACTTTAAATGTCCTCACTTTTCAGATTGTTGCCACCAAATATTATCGCCCTGTGTTATATTTAAAGAAATTGAATAATGAAGAATCTACATGAATGTATGTATGTTTCTCACATTGTGAAAAAATAGGGGTACCTAGAGCCAGCAAATTTTGAATAACATAGTCCTCCACCCGAACATGGGCACCTGTAAGCCGAAATTTGGAGTTTGGAATTTGTTTTATTCTCTATTTCATATTTTGCAAAGTTTTAACGACTTGTGTGCGGAAAAAAACCCAACATTTTTACCTCCGGGTGAGACTGTGTATCAGAAATTCTAAAGATATGCTGTTTTGTTGTTTTTAAATATTTTGTGATATTGCTATTGAATTGAATTTTATGTTATTTAAGTGAGAACATGATATTTAATAAATAAAGGTAACACACAAAACGTTAAAAAAACATACTTTTCGGGGTAATATAAAATCTGAAGGCTTTCAGATTTTCTTTTTTTTTTTTTTTAAACTTTTTATGTTAATTTGTTTTTGGAAAGAAAAATCCAGTCTCGGCATGCGTATTTGAATAACGTGGAAAGTTAAATTGATTTGTTAAGTTTGGCTGGTTTTATTTTATTATGGAAAAGCACTTGAGGGCTATCGGTCTAAGGGGTAGGATTCTTTCAAAGTGGACTTTCTGAAGGAAACTGCCTCGTATTCACGTTACACATGAGGAAAACTATGACAACGCTTATGCAGCCGACCCGTTCACGTGGAATCGAATTCAGGTTGAAGCATTCTTATTCTGCGACTTCGCTGATGAACTAAAAATTATTTGACGAATTAAAAATACAAGAAGGTTATGGAAGAGGGCTATCGTGGATAACCTTTTAAGGGAAAATGATGCGTACCCACGTTATATATATAACAGCTATCGTGTTGTATTCACATTGCCTATTGCATGCATCTTTGATGAAAATAATATTCGTCTTGAATAATTACAGTACCAGCTTTTATAGGAATACCTTGAAAGAATATTTTAAAACCGTTCTAATGAATTTCAATGTTTTATAAAAGGTTTAATTAAAAATATCTGAATGAAAAAATCAAAAATGAAATTTTATCTTGTGGCTTTTTGAAAGATTAAATTCTTCTCAGAACACGAGGCTATAGAATGCCGTTTTGGAGTATTTTCTGAGAAAAATTATCTAGTACTTAGTTCCACGAAGGGCAAATCACAACACATCCATTTAGTTAGCCGTCGGGATTTCGAACGCGAGTCGAATTATCAATATTCAGTGTTCACAACGTTTGATGGCCACTGGTGAGAAAATACTTCGCTTAGGATTGCGTAAAGGTATTTCGTAACAGCAAATAAAGTTACTGTATTTACATTAATACAATCTTTCAGGCTTATTTATTTAATACTAGCAGGTTCGCTGCCAGCCTTCGTCTGGCTTTTAAATATACCGGAAAAATGGCTGAAGGGAACACCAAACGTTAAAGTTAAAAACTGCGTAGAATTTTACTCTGCAGAACAACTTCATAAAAAAAAGTTATTACTTTTTTTTATGAAAATTATAATGAAATAAGCAGTATCCCTTTATACAAATATTAATTATCCTAATAAATAAATTAACCAACTTCCCTTTGCAAAATTTTAAGAACTCAAATGGTATAAAGGAGGTTAAGAATTCTGTTTCCTAAAAAAATCACTCAAAACTTTTCAATATCTTAAAAACAGTGAAATGAGCAATAACTAACATAAAAGAATACAAAAAACAAAAATTCTGAAAAGCAAAGTATAATTAATGATATTTTATCCTACATTTTCAAGAGAAAAAAAATTACAATGAAATAAGCTATATCCCTTAATACAAATAATAATTATCCTAATAAAAAAATTAACCGACTGCCCTTTGCAAAATCTTACGAACTGAAATGCTTTAAAGGAGGTTAAGAATTTTGTTTCCTAAAAAAAATCACTCAAAACTTTTCAATATCTTAAAAACAGTGAAATGAGCAATAAATAACATAAAAGAATACAAAAACAAAAAATTCTGAAAAGCAAAGTATAATTAATGATATTTGATCTTATACTTTCAAGTGAAAAAAATGACAATGAAATAAGCTACTATATCCCTTAATACAAATACTAATTATCCTAATAAAAATTAACCAACTTTCCGTTGTAGAAAAAAATCATGAAAAACTTTTCAATATCTTACAAACAGTGAAATAAGCAAAAAATAACATGAAAGCAACTCAAAAAACATAAAATTCCGCTCAGAATTTTACTCTGCAGAACAACTTTATTAAAAAAATCAATAAAAAGGTATTATATATATATATATATAAATGAAAATGAAATATGCCAATCTCTTAAAAACAGCGACAAAGAAATACGATGAAAAATTGTTGCCAAACCCATATTTCTAAAAGAATGAAACTGTTCAAAATGATGCGATTTCATCAAAAATCTATCAACAACAATAAGAAACGAAAATTGTTGCCAAAATCACATTTTTAAAGATGTGAGATGTGAGAAGTGTATTCGGAAGCTTCATTTAAAATTTTTTTTTTAAATACAAAATATTATCATTTTTCCAAAATTCTTTTTGTAAAAGCAGCCGCAAGGATGAAAGTTTAACGTGTCCAAAAATCAAAGAAAAATAAACTGTATATTTTTAAAAGTAAACTGTTTTTAGAAAAAATCCCATTGAAAAGGTGTTAAGCTCCTTTCTTAAATAAATTTGTATTTAATCGATTTATTGAAACACGAAATTTATTTTAAGTTCGTAAAATAGCTAAGTGCCTACGTTTCATGACGATGTAAAAATGGAGTGTGTAGAGTAAAATCTCGATTTCCTATAGCCCATTATGTCTCAAAATGACGCGATTTCGTCACAAAACATAAAATAAAAAAATTCTAATTCGAATTTCGAAAAATTCGCTTCGAGGTGCACTGGCTCTTGCCTAGATGCACCTATGTACCAAATTTCGTAACCGTGGGTCTATTAGCTTACTCGCAGCGCGAACGAAAGACACACAAAGACTCTTTCTTTTATTATATGTAGAGAAAATGCAAAACATTTAATGCAATATTAAATGCCTTGTTATCCGAAAGGTATTTAATTTTTTAACCGAAATGTAATGCATATGCAAGTCAACAGTTAAAACTTTGTTGTATAATGACCAGATATTTTATATTAATTAAATGTCCATAATCAATTAAAATTAAAACCACTGTGTTCGCATTTAGAATGCACTTTCAAAATATATTTGATAGCTCTCGAATGACTTATTACAGCCAAGTTAACAATCAATTCATTTATTACTTATAAATTGAAGTTTTGACTAACACTTACCACCGTTCAGCAGCAAATAATGAACTTTTACAGGGAGTAGTTTTTTGTTGATTTTTAGGAACTCCATTTCCAACGTATTTTATTTATGAAGATCCGACCTGGAAAATCAAAACATTTATTCTCAGCATCTTTTTACCAAAAGCACTCGAAATGGCATTCACATATTACGATAAAGGGTGGATAAATTTAAAAATTGTGATTTATCTGTTAAATATATAGAAAATTTAGCTACAGGAACTGGAGTAATGAAGTATTGCTGTCTCAACATCGATAAATAACAGGTAATATGCAAATCGTAACAGCGAAAACACAACCAAAAAGTAAACTAAAAAAATAATGGTTACTAAAGTTCAATTACACGAGCTTTGATTCTTAAACGATTAGAATGAGTGCTGAATGTTTCATGCTTTAAGAGCTGCTTAGTAGTTTGGCTTAGTAGTTGCACGAAATTCTGTAATACAGAAGCACAGATATAATAGCAGCTTTAATTTTGATTGATAAATCTGATAATTTTATAGAATGAAGCTGGTGAGATAAAACTAAACCAAAGATAATATTATCCAGAACATAAACTGTGCTTTGAATAAAAATGTCTGTAGAAATATTGAAGATATTGGTATATAGAGGAATTTCACATTTTCCATATTTTACAATAGATGTGATAAAAGCGCAGTTTTAACGTTTTCAGGGCATCCTGCATACTTTAAGGTAACACGCGACACATGCTGTTTTTCGCCATTTTTGGATCCACTTCCTTCGCCTCCATGTCCATGGATTAGTTAGATTATTATTATACATTTCGTATGTTTTTTCCTGCTGTTAACATTGTTTTCTCGAGGTATATTATGTTCACGATTTTAAATGGGTGGCGAAAACGTCAAGAATGCAGTTAGTTCAAGAACAACTGAAATATAACAATGAACCAAAATAGTATTCAAGGAAAGAACCTGCGTAAAATTAACACTTAACATTAAAAATAAATAAAGAAAATAAAGAAAGGAAGAGATAAAAAGGATTCAGGTCATCTTATCAAAATGTTATTTGTTAAAACTCTATTTTTGTGCGAGAATTCACTTTCCATGATAATAAAAATTAATATTCAAAAGTACTACTTTTTGGAAGGACTGCTATTTTTTTTTAAATTTCTAATATATTTGAAATTTATTGTGCCCTTTGGCCAAAATGTTTGCCCAGGCCTACTACAGGCAGCGAGCTTCATGGTTACCTCCTACCTCTTACCATGAAGCCTGTTGCCCATAGTAGGCCTTGAAAAACCTTACAAGGGCCTCATAGGCGGGATAGTGGTTAGCGATGTAAACCAATGAGTTGGCTTCCGGTCTATGTTTATAAATAATCAACTCAGCAGGGGTTTCCACTATCAGCCAGCCACAACCCATGGACCTGGCCAGCAGCTCAGACGGCATTTATTAAATCAAAAGTAAAATTACAGAATCACAATGTTATGTACGTCAGAATTACAAAGCTAATTTTCTAATAGTTATACCCAATACATTTATTCAAAACTCTCAATAGCGCAGCATATCCTGTTTAAAATATTACGAAAAATTCTATCATACAGTGTTATATTACAGACGGTTAAAGTTAAATACCACTCTGTTGTCCTATTGAAATAGAAACAGCGCATGCTTAGGGTCTCTGGATGTGCTTCTGTAGTTCAATATTAGTTAAATCACTAATATTGAAATACAGAAGTTCAATATTAGTTAACCCCCTTTTTTTTGGTAAACTCACCTCTTTTTCAAAAGTCCGTTTTAAATTTTACAATGCTGAGAATATTATCAAAATTTGTGGAAACGAAGATATATAGACACTTTCGACTGCAGGTTCAAGTACATGCGAGATTACAATTTTATGTGATCGACCTGTTCAGAATTTTAAATTCATGAGGTGAAGCATAGGATGTAAAATTTTTAGATAGATGCGATTCTGTTAACCTTGAACTCCAGATTGATAAGCAAAAAAAATGAGCTGATTTTGCACTTTTAAAGATGACGATATCAGTTAAGATTAACTGCTAAATATTTGTACATAATTCCATAAGAAATGATTCTGAAATCTGAGATTTTGATCGCCTTTTGCAAATACTTTGATGAAATGTAGCAGGTTTTTAATATCTCGGATAACTGCTAAAAAGCGTTGCCATGCAGAATACAGTTATTCATTTCTAATTTACATTCTTTTTTATTTATTTTTTACTTTATTATTTATTTATTTATTATGTGCTCCGCTGTTAGGCGTTGCATGGACATTTGTTTTAGCAGCTAAATTTTTGGCATTTGATACGTATAAAAAGCAAAAGCGTTTGATGGTTTTTGTGTGTTGCTTTACTTTCAATAATTTCAAGGTTTTATAAAAAGGTTTCTTTGGGCTTTTAACTAATTTATAATCTAAAGTTATTTCAAACTTTGTCAAAATTTCTGAAATTTTCTTGTGTTAAATCTTAAGTTCTGTTTGTAAGGTTTCCTTCAGTTTTCATAGTAAATTATTTTAAATTTGTAATTTTTCCTGAGCCTCTCATTTTTCTCCTCGCATTTCCTTGCCAGGATGCAAATTTAAAGTTAAGTGAAGAGAGTATAAAAACAGGCGAAACTAGAAATTTATTCAGATTAGTCATGGTTATCTTTTTCTTTATCACGAACAAAACCTTTATGGTTCTTGTTACTGATGAATTTTCACCACCCAAACCTATGCTTAGTGGGGGTCCCACAGGTTTTAGTTACTGGCCCTGTAATCTACCACTTTTACATTGTGGATTTCCCTAAGTTTCAAAATAATAGTAACTCAATTCTAGCCTGCTACGCAGATGATAGTGCTTTGGTAGTAAAATCTGCTAACATTAACTATGCTGTGAAATATCTCCGAGACTTCATGCCAAAAATTGAACAGTGGCGCAGTTATTGGAAAATCTCTATTAATGCATAGAAGTCCCATCTGCTTCTCATCAGAAGACGCAAACGTAATCACCAACAGTAAAAATCCTTTCCTTATTTCAATATAATGGATATTGAACCTTGTAGGAAGAACAAAGCTAAATTTTCAGAATGAACAAAATACTTTTATTTGAATTTTAAAACAGAACCAAAAAATAAATGCTGCAGCTCTTAACTATTAAAATTTTATACTCTTAACTACTACAGTTAAAACTCTTACAACTATTAAAATACTAAAAAAAAAAAAAAAACACTAAAATCTTAAACTCTCCAAAAAATATATATATATAAATCTTCCGAATTCTCTTCTTGTTGCCACACCGTAAAATGCAAGTTCTTGTCCTATTATTTATATTTCACGTTCTCTTTAATTCACGATCTTTACAAGTCACGATCTTTACAAGTCACGATCTTTACAAGTCACGTTCTTTACAAGTCACAATCTTTACAAGTCACGATCTTTACAAGTCCCCCCACAAGAAGCACATTCGTCACCGTAGAGACAATGCTGCTCAGAGTTCATTGAGAGAGAAAGTGTTAACTGCTAACCTTGACAAAGCATCAGCATTCCCATGTGAACTTCCTTTGCGGTATGTCACAGTCATGTTATACCGTTGTAACGCTAAGGCCCAAAGAGACAGTTTAGCACTATGAGGGGCGCTTTGGGTCAAGTAGGTGAGGGGATTGTGATCAGACACAATTTGCACTTTGGCACCGAAAATCCATATACTTTGGTGAAATGTAGCAGGCTTCGATGAAATTTAAAACATTTTTCAAGGCTTCGATGACACAAAATGCTTCTCGTTCGATGGTTGACCATCGTTGTTGACAGGGCGTTAGTTTCTTGCTGAAAAATGCTATGGGCATTTCTTTGCCATGTTCGTCGTTTTGAGCTAAACGCGCTCCAATTGCGAAAGCAGATGCATCCGTATAGAGTTGAAAGGGCTTGCTGATGTCCGGAGTATGCAGAGATGGCATTTTAATCAACTCTTCTTCAAATTTGTTGAAGTTTGTTTCAAAAGCTGCTTCTTTTTTACAGAGTCCCATGGAATACTTATTTGGAACACTCTTTCTTTGTAAGGTTTGTTAGAGGTAAAACAATCTCAGAAAAATTTGGGATATAATCCCTATAGTAGCTTGCTAGTCCTAAAAGACTTCTGACTTCTTTTTTAGTGGTAGGCTTAGACAGATTTCTGATGACTTCTATCTTCTCAGGATCTGGAGAGTGAGTGCCAGAACCTATTACATGCCCTAGAAACTTCACGTGACTCTTTTCGAAATCACACTTTTCTAGATTTGCGGTTAGACCTGCGTTTCTCAGTGACTGAAACACTTGGTCGATGTGATACAGGTGGCCATCCCAAGTTTCAGAAAATATTGCCACATCATCAATATATGAACGGCAGTAGTTCTTATGGTTTACAAGCACATTATCCATCGATTTTTGGAAGGTACTCCAGCATTTTTCAAACCGAAAGGGAAAACTTTCCATTGGTAATGGCCGGAATGAGTGATAAATGCTGTGTAGGGTTTAGCTTCTTCTTTCATAGGAATTTGCCAATATCCCTTGGTTAAATTGAGAACTGTTATGAATTTGGCTTTCCCTATTTCGAATAGTAAATCTTTAGCAATCTTCATCGGATAGGCGTCCGGAACTGTGAAGCTATTTAAAAGCCTGAAGTCTATGCACAGTCTAACACCGCCATTCTTTTTTGCAACACATACTATAGGATGTGCCCAGTCACTGTCACTGGGTTCTATAAGATCCCATTCTAACAGTTCTTTAACTTGACGATAGACTTCCTCTTGAAGTGAAACAGGAACACGGTAGGGCCTCAATCTTTTTGGATTACATTCTTCTGTAACCTTGATGTCATGACCATCAACATTGGCTTGACCAGGTTTGCTACTGAAAACATCTACATAAGATTTTAGTACTTTAAATAGTCCTTCCCGTTGGTAATATTTTAAGTCGCCTTTCAAATTTTGTAAATGGGTTCAGATATCATCAGCAGATTTATTCATAAGATCTGCTGGTGCATAGTGGATATCTCCACACTCTTCATCTTGGTCAAAAATGATACCAACGTGATCTACACGAGCAATATAAGGCCTTAACTTATTTATATGGAGTTCTCTAATACTTC